GACCAATGGCGTGCTTGGCCCATGGATGCAGAGGGATACTGTGATTTATTACGAGAAAGTCGAGCTGTTTTTGCGTAGTTCCACACTCACAACGCAGCATCCAGTCCTCTTCTTGCCTTTGTGGTATCAACTGTATAAAGGGTGAAATCTGTAACCTACAATCGTCAGTTCAGGCCAAAAAAAACATGGTTAAAAGTACTTAACAATGGTTAAAACAATGCAGTGTGGATACCTTGACAGGTGTCTCTACAGTTAGTAAGGTGGGGGGGAGGGTGTTGAGCAAACTGCTCCCCCCCAACAGATAAGTTAACCATTCATGACAGACCACATAGAATGAAGACATTCGGGAGATTTAGCACTATTGTTATCTCATCATTGTGTTGAATGCTGATGGCTATTTTCCTCACCCCATAAAATGAAATTCATATTGGAGCAACAGATCTAAGCCAGAGGTCATCTGACTACTAGTCTCTTGTGCAAAACACGGCTTCTTACACAAATGACTTACTGGAAAAATGATGTTTTTTGTTGAACGACTCCCAGAGGAACCGTGATGATGTTGTAGTTTTACTGCCTCGAGGTATAAAGGCTCACAACAGATTTCATGCATTGATGTTTTAATCTTAATGTTTTGATGCCAGTAAGGATGAATTTCCAATTGAACTTTGGTCTGCAATGCAGCATGTGCCATTGTCACATGAATCCTCTCCTTCGGACCACCTATTAAAAAAAAAAAAAAAAAGAAAGCTCATCACCCACCACACAATCAATACCAGACAAACCCAAATAGCCCAAATCCTGAATTATAATATTGGTTTTATTTAAGCTTAAAGAGTCTTTACCAAATGCAACGTCTACAATCTACCTCTACCTGCTGTGAAAAATCTGATTATTTAAGTCAACTGTGGAGCGTTTGGGCGGTCGCGAGCGCACTCGACCGCTGGCCAGCTAGCTCGTGTGCAGGGTCCGGCCTAATTGGATTTATGTGCGGGAATGTTTTTCCAAAGCCGCACTTGTGAAATACCTCCACATCTGCTGACCATTAGCAGTGGACATAACACACAACAGAGAGAGAGAGAGAGAGAGGAAAGCCCCCAACGCCTTGATTCATTGGACTGCAGCTCTGCTTTTATTGCGGCGGTTCGCTGTGGCGCTTCGGCGCAGCGAGCGATGCCTTATCTCTCTCTGTCTTTTTCCTCCCCGCTTCTCAATTTCATTATTTTCTTTCCCTGCGGCCATTCAATCCTTCAATCCGCTCACAATCGCTTTGTCTGACCTCTGATTCTCTTTAGTTAATTCCTCTTGCCGCAGCAGTTCACAGTCGCAGTCTCTTATTTCCTACAGGACACCTTTTTCTCCTTTAACTTAAACTCCCTCCAACATGGTCCAACTTCCCATTTGCTTCCCAACCCGACTTCCCCGGCGCTTGTTCTCCAGCAGTCATCTATCTATGTCAATACAACTTCCATCTCCGAACCTTTCTTTTTCCCCCTCTCACTCCCCGAGGCAAGAACATCCTCTTGTTTCATCCCTCGGTGGGCACGAGGAGCAACTAGCAAGGGGGTCTGACAACCCTCTGACCCCTCATCTGTCATCTGCAAAGGAAAAAGCACCCTCCTAATTGGGGGGTGTGGGAGCGTGGAGGGTTCGGGGGTGGGTATGGAGGTTGTTATTCTAGTGTCGGGAGGGGGGGGTGGGGGGGTCAGAGGTGAAAAGGAGGGAGATCACACCGGTGATTAGCCTCCTTCATGTGCAGGAGCGGAGGGAAGCGGGGACATGGAGAGTGTTTTGTCGGGCAGCTGGGGTGTAAAGTGATTAGAGCGATTGGGGTAAAATCCTGCACGTGTCGGCGATGCACGGACACCTGGGACCTGAGAGGTAAGTCCATGTAACACCATCAAAACCTCAAAAGTTGCAATATTATGACTTCATCTCAGAGGTGACACGTGTTCTGGCCTCGGGAGCTGACGAGCTCCAAAACCTCCCAGCCGTCGTCCTCGCCTCCTCGCGCTGTCCGCCCCTCTTCATGTAGCTCAGCAGATCACCAAAAAGGTGTGTGTGTGTGTGTGTGTGTGTGTGTGTTTCTGTGAGCGTCTATCTAACTATAAAGCAAAGAAAATGTGTCTGTGTGTCCTTTAGCGTGTTTCCACCACCGCTCAGTTCGGCGTATCGGTTGCCTCCATCTTGTTTTTTTATGAAATGAACTGTGAACACAATGTAAGAGGGTTAAAGTGTGACAAACACGTGCACAACTCACAAACAATGCCGTTGTAGCGACCGGTTAATCACAAGGTAATAACATCCAGCTTTAGGGTCTCTTTTTGTCTTAATGGTACAAATGTGTTAGAGAGCCAAATTGGGTATTGAGACCCTGAACTCATCCTTGAAATGTTCATATATAACAAACAACAGGCTAATGATCTCATAGACTTCTATACAATCTGACTTCATTTGGCAAACGAGAAGCTTTGGCCCATTAGAAATAAAGCGTTTAAGACACTTCTTCATCTCCATCTTAAACTATGGAAATAAAGTTGCTCGTATGTCAAAGCACTACCGTACTTCCCATGATCTCAATAATGATTTGTCGGAAAGAATAATACTTAAGCAACAGGCCTGGGGCTTTGAATGTAAAAAAAATCAATCATGGAAGTTAATATTCCCAATGCTTTGTTCAGTTATGAAAAGAGAAACTCCCACTTCCAACATCTTCTCCCTTGATGCATGATCACCTGTCAAACCGTAACTTATTTACCTGATGCTTGTGAGGCACAATGGGGGGGGCTGTACTTCAAAGGGTACAAAAAAAAAATTTGCTCTTCGACAGATTTTCTGAGCGTCTGGATTCCTTCTTTGCAGTGACACTGATTGACGTTTCGGGTGTGATGTGTGTCGGGTGCGCTATGCACCTCCGTGCCTGCTGCCAAGGAACTGCTGAGCACACACACACACACACACCTCTACACCTGCTGGTACCATTCTGCACACACACACACACACACACACAGACCAAAGGGAGAAAAGGGGACCAAAGAAAAATGAAATGAGCTGCACGCGTCTTAATGAGGGAGGGCCGGGCGTCTGGCTTTTACCTCAAACCATTTCTTCCTCCTGCTGCTCTCTCTGGAGGGCTTTAAGTCCGCCGCCCGTTAACGGCTGAAGTGTGGATTTCCTGTCAAATAAGGGTTAGGGCCCAACAAAAGTCCTTTACGCTGGTACCTAAACAGGATTACTTCCAGCTGCTTCACCCAAACGTACACACACACACACACACACACACACGTATGTCATGTCTCTATGGGGATTCAAACTAGTTCTGTGGTTTTCAATTGTGTCTTTATAGTGACCTTATTGTACCTTGTTATATTACTTAAGGTATTTTTAAACCCCAATAACCAATGTATTACCACTGTAATAAATATAAGACATAACAATAGTGCGTACTGTATTGTGTTTTGTCCAACAGCATCCTTGCACTTTATAAACACTATAGTTCTTGAAGGGCCCTTTGATGCTGTCCGTGATGTGGCATAATCGGGTACGGGTGCGATTCAGTCTTGGGATTGTCATTTCAATTGGGCGCGTTACTCACATGAACGTGGCAGTTTAAGTTGAGACACTTACTGACAATATTCCCACTTTGTCCTGACATGCAAGCGGCTTAAAGTCAACAGCACTGATCGAACGAAGCGCCATTCAAACGTGTGAGTGGATCCAGTTGGCCTGAGTTCAGTGGAATCAGGATTTAGTGCCGTGTCAGTATTTGCCTTAAGAGACTTTTGTGGCTTTTTTCGAACAGTTTTCCAGCTCACATTAGTTTGTATCGTGCACTTTGTCTGGTACAGTATTAGACATTTTGCAGATGGCCAATTCTTGCAGATGCAACCACTACTTTGTGTAGTGTTCTCTGGTGCCTTGCCAATTGACTCAAAGTGAGGCAAACGTGATAAGAGAAGCAAGGGTAATCACATTTTCCAGTCATTGGTAAATGGTTTCTATTAAGCAATCAAACTCTTTTAAATACTCAGTCAGTAAGTTGATGAAAGAGCTCACTGGTTTCACAATTGCCAAACAAAATTAACCCCAAAAGTTAGGAAGTCACAACAGGCTGTCAAGTATTTGATTATAAATATTAACTAGATAGATCATCAGTTGTCTATCTAATGGATTAAAAGCCCAAAACAAAACGCCCGCCAGAGAGTTTCCAAAATATGTCAACCTATAATGTGTTTTCGTTACTTCTTATAAGCCATTAATTGCAGCTCATAAACATTTTATAAATCATGCCCTATAAAGCGGTAACATGTGTGCCTGTCAGTGGACCATGTTGATGCCAAACTGCCAAAAACATATTTAGAAAACACTATATTAATGTCCTCTCCGGTCCAAGTGAAGAGGATGTTAGTATATTGTATACTGTCTACTTTTTGGACAAAATACAGTATGAAATTACATATTACTTCCAAAATAAAAGCAAATCACTTAATTATATTAAATAATTTTAAATCTGCACACTTTTTTATTTAAGCGGTTTGTACAGAACAACCAAACCATTATTATATCACTGTTCTGGCGGACTTGTTTGATTAATGCAATCTCATTTAATCCTGCATGCTTTTAGAAATACTCTAAGAATGATTTTGCAAGTAAAACGTTAGCGTTTTTGTCCACCGGAGATTAAAGAATAGAGCTGGCGTTCCTACTAACGTGTAAAAATGGGTCAAAAATAGATTGAACCTGGGTAAAAAGTCAGTTATCAACTATGTTCTAGTCATTTGAATGATGTATATGGAATAGATTTAAAGCCAACTCTGTATACTATATGTATCGGTAAGATCGATTCATTGTCAGGTTTTTTTTTTGGGGGGGGGGGGGGGTGTTGTTGCCAATATATGAAAAACAAGAAACATCATCTAAACTTGAGTGACATCCGATTTTACTTTGAAGAAAAAACAACACCCGGAAGTTGTATAATTAACCCTTCAGGAGGAGAGACGCTGACAGAGAGGAGCGCAAACTCAAGTGGAAGGGGGGGGGGTTGAACCGAGGACGTGTGGTTTTCTTGGGAAGGCAAGTCGTGTGCTGCTCATCGGCCTCTCTGGACCGTATTCAACCACCGAGACTCTCGCTGGATCCGCCCGGATAAAAATAACCTGCTTCCAAGGTCCCAACCATGAGGACCCGCGTGTGGATTTACCAAGCTGTGGTGTGTGTGGTGGTCACTGTATTAAACACAGGTAAGAGCTGTGCCTCTGGTCTCAGGCTTTTTCATTTCTTTTTATATATCTCATATCTGAATGTCAGTCCTCGTTTATAAAATGTTAGCAAATGTTATAGAAAAAAGAAAAAAAAAGTGAGAAAAGTGGGCAAAAATCGAATAACGATTATAATCGAAAATAAAATGTTGTTGGCATTTGATTTTTTTTAATGTTTCATATATGTTTCATTTAACTTCCCATAAAGAAGTTGAGTGTCACTAGGAACACTTTTATCAGGCGCCGTCTTGCAGCGTTTGTCGACCCACCCTTTGATTCATTAATGTGACTTGTAATTTGCCGCGTCTTGAAGAATGAGCTATTTCCGGGGATTATATCTGTAAACGTGACACACATGAAACACTTTGAATCAAACGTCCTCCTCCAGATAAAGGACGACCGACGTGCCACGACGTCTGCCGGAAGTCTACATGCTGATGTCACTGCTTTTTATTAATGAATACACGTCTAATGTCGGCGCTGACTTTTTTTCTGTAATAGACGCTCTTGGAGCGCGCGCGCGCATTATCACCCGGTGGTTACTGAGGCTGTGTCGGTGCCCGCCCTCGCCCCCCCGCTGACACCCACTAAAGGGAAGCACCGAACCCTCCGGAGGGTGTCGACCCTGAACCCTGACCGACGTTCCATTTTGGGGGGAAAGTAAATTGGGAGTGTGGTATTCGTGCGCTTGTCCCGGTAGAGAGATAGAAAAAGGGGTGTGTGAGGGGGGGGGAGTCCAACATCTGGCTGAGCCAGTTCGACATTTTGCGCGTTCTGCAGCAGATGTAATGTCTGCTTAATTCCCAGACAGAGGTGCACCTTTAACCCGCCACCTTCCTGTTGTTATATGTGATAGAGATTTTACCTCCTCAACGCTGCGTTGAATACTTCACCAAATCTTGAATAGAATTCTCGCTGGGCGGCACCTGAGCGGTGGTGGTTTTCGCTGGCCTCTCCGATCCACGTTTTCCCAGCTGACCTAGAGACACAAACTGGTCCCTGTAAGCCGTAGGCCTCGTCTCATTAAGTCCCACCTCTGTCACACTCTCCTATTGAGCCCGTCTCATTACAATCTCCCACTTCTGCAAATGTTTGGGATTTAGAGATAGCAGGAGTCCGACCGCGAGCAGAGGAAGAGACTAAGTGAAATCTAATTGAGCAGCCTGGCCAGACATCAGGGCTGTAACAACACGGTGATGAGTGCCAGATGTGGTCCGGTGGAGCCCAAACATTAATAACAAGTCCTCCCCAAAAAAAACCATTTTCAGCCACGAGGAGCCTCTAAGCGCTGCACAGTTTACAATATCCTAAGTACACACACAGCGCCTCGCGACGGATCTTGGCACATGAAGCTGTGAGCCGGTAGCATGAGATTTTACTTTGTGATTTCTATCGCGATTGCATCAAATCATGAGCGGAAAACGATTGCATCCGAATACATAATGAGTTTAAAGATGTTGCTGTAAGCAGCTTTTACAGTACAGCTCCATTATCCCGGAGGATGGGCTCTTAACTCCCAGCAGTATCGAAGGATTTGGATTTAAAATAGGGTTTTGTCCTGTTTTTGAACCCACGTGGACCTCATATATATATATATATCATGCTATGTCTTTGCAATGATATAATTCTCTTTTGATGCACTTCTTGCAAAGACGTCTCTTCTCTCAGCAAAGGCCTGCAACAAAACTAAAAATGAGTCATTATGTGTTTTGTTTTTTTCCTTTTCCATGTCTGTGTTGTAGGCCGATAACTGATAGAAATGTATACATTAAACTTAATCAGGTAACAAATGACACAGCGGGAATTCTCTCGAGACTTTCATGGCTGCATGACAAGGACTAATTGGATAAAGGCAAAAAATAGAACAGTGGAAAAAAAAAATCAAATTAAAAAAATTGCATCCCTTTATTGTAACATTTGAAACAACAAGGACAAGTCATGCCGCATTAGGATATTAAGACATCAAAATATTTAGTCTCATATGTTCATATCGATGTATCAGTATGTTGCTTGGCCCTGATTTACAACAACAAGTGCTCAGCAAATGTGTTTCTGGCAGCATAAAATGTGCACTTCGATCTCAGACTGAACACCGGAGCGGGTCAGCTCTTTTGGATGGACATTACTCTGTTCTCTTGGCCGTCCTCGCGGTTCTTGTTCTCTGCATTTCTCAGGCAGCTGCCTCGCTTTAAAGCAGGAATGCCTGCGAGCCTTCTGAGCGTTGAGAGTTTTCAATCCAGGACGAAACTGTAGATACAGTAAAACAGGGAGAAGAAGACGCAAGTGTTGGGGGCAAGTAATCAAACAGTCGGATCGATCAGAAAATAAAACGACCTTTATGTTGAACGTGGATGGTCTCCTGTGTGAGGTGATCCTGTCCTACTTCCTTCCCAATGCTAACAGTACCTCATTTAACACGCCGTGTCTCCTTGTGTCCCTGCAGGGTTTTGTCGGCCTCCGATGTTACAGAAGTACGAAAAGAGCGAAAGTCGCATGCTGGTTTGCGCGGACTGCCCTCAGCCCCTGGTACGAAAAGTCCGATCGCAGGAGAACTGCGCGCACAAGTGCAAGAATGTCAAGAAAAACTTCACCTGCCGGTCAGTCGGCTTCCGCGTTTTCGGCGAAAACGTGGCCGCCTTCCCCTCCTCTCCCCCCTGTGTCGACACGGTATTTACACATTTCGGTCGTTCTTCGTTTGCTCATCTCCCGGCTGCTCCCCTTTTGTGTTTTCCTGCAGGGCTTTCAACTTTCAACGGCACACCAGGAAGTGCTACTTGCTTCCCTTCGACCGCTTCACCCGCGGCGTGCAGAAGCAGGCCGACGTCAACTTTACCCTGTATGAAAAAAAAGGTAAGCGCGGTGGCGTCTGGAGGCGCTTTGGCCTTTTTTTCTCACGAGAACATGGAGAACGGACCGATTTCTACGCAGGCAGATTGTGCGTCGCTGATTGCAGGTTGTTCTCCCCGCGTCGGCTTGTTGACACAATAAAAACATGGCTGTTTAGTCACGCATAAACATGTAGCAGACTGAAGCGTAAGCAAAATAAAATCATTGTTTACAGCTGTTAGGCAAAGGGTTTCTCTCCGGTTGAAGCTGTTGAATCTCGCACTTTTGTAGAATTTACTGCAACATTTACCAAACCCCCCACCCCCAGGTGACATTTAATGAACTTCGGGGAGTTGTCTGTTTTGGGAATAACACACAATCTGGGCCACGCTAAATCGCTCGCTGTAAAAAAAAAAAAAAAGCGTCTAATTGACCATACATGGGGAAACATGTTCCAGGTGGTCGTGGCCCGGGGACGCAAATCAACCTTTAATTGAGTGAACGGTGAATGAAGCGGCCGGCAAAAGGGAACCCGGAGACCGCTCGTTGTTTTCAAATGCCTTTCTTTGTGCCTTCGCTCTACTTTAGATTACATAAGGGAGTGTATCGTCGGCACCAAGGACGACTACAGAGGGAGGAGGTCTTGGACCAAGTCAAACATCACTTGCCAAGCTTGGTCAGATAATAACATCAATGAACACACGTAAGTCCTTTCCTTTTCAACTTTTTGTTTTGGGGGAACCGAGGCTACTCGTGAGAAGGTTACAGTCGTGTGACCCCGAGGCGGCAGTGCCTTGCTCGATGACAGGGATTGAAAGGTGTTGATCATTCGCTCCCCCCCCCGCACCAGATTATTTTTTGGTAGATGTAACAAGCGGCCTTCAAAGTCTGCTTCTCTAACCTCGAAGGCTTCCGCAACCTTCGTGGATGCTCCTTCTCCCGTTTCCCTGTGTCTGATATTGAACAGGCCTCGGCAGCTGATTTATAGATGAGCGGATCATCCCCTTGCACCTCGGGGGGGTTAAGGGAAGGTGGAGGCTCGGAGACGGGTAAACGTTTAGCCAGAAACAAGTCCAATTTCTTTCAGCACGCGAGGGGATGTCCTGTTTTTTTGTTTTGTGTTTCCACTGCACTGCAGGCTGTCAGGTGTGTCCCGAAAGCCGCAAGCCAGGCAAGGTCTGTGCCAGCATCTCGTTAGTGGGGTCTCATTAGGTACGAGATATTTAAACGGCGGCAGGGAGGGGGTTCCAGACACAGAGGGATAAGAGCCCGAAGAAGAAGTAGACACGAAGGAGGTGGAATCAAAGAAAGCGCGGAAATTTATAGACTGAAGTCATGTTTTTGTCTGTTGTCCAGCTGAGCTCACAAAGCCACAGACATACTGAGAGAAATACAAGTTTTGTGACCCCCCCCCCCCTTATAATTACACGCCACAGCGTTGATCCCCCTGCTCTCCTCTATTATTCCGTTCCTTCCCCAGAAGCAGGTGTTCGCATTAGGAGTCCTTCGCCGTTGTTTATTCCACACACAGTTCCAGTCCTCGTCCTCAGAAGGCAAATCTAACACGCCCCCCCACGGGTTGTCAGCAACTTTTAATTTTCCGAGGGTCAAAGGGAGCTTTACTTAAGGGAGACTTAGCGCCACTGTGGGTTACCTAACATGGGACTGTCCCGCTGTTTGAGAATTACCGCCACAATCAAGCACGCACCATTTGAGCTTCAGGTAACTATTATTTTCATGCCTGAGCGGTCGCCGTGGGCCAGGGGTGATTTCTCAGGAGGTTCCCTTCCAGGAAAGGGACTTCCACCTGTTGTCTATATTTAGTGTTTCAACCAAAGCTCTGCAGAATTTCTTTTTTCTCGTATATGCACCCAGCCAAGCAAGCAGAATATAATGGAAAACTTCTGTTCATATTAATAACAATAGATTACATTGCAATCATTTATTTATTCCCGTTGGGACTTTCTTTTATTTTTCTACACATTCCCACTGGGAGGTCGGCGAAAAAAGCTCAGCAAACGGAAACGCTCGACTCCTCGTAGCGAGTTCGATGAGGACATTGATCCACATGTCTGTAGTCGGCTCATCCGGGGGTTTAAACCACGCAGATGGTCCAGAACCATTATTGATGTGTTGAAACGCTTCCTTGCTCTAATGTCTAAACACTTTGCTCCTTTTGAAAGCAGCTGCGTTAAAGCGCGACCTCCTTTGTTCCAGGTGCACGGGAAATGTTTGCAGCAGTTACTTCAGGTCTAGAATTCATCTTTAGTGATATTCAAAAACTGGCCAACTTCGGCAGAGCCTGTGCGTCTGTGCTCCGATGGGAACACACTTTGGCAGAGAGATGAATAACTGGCTAACATCTGTTAGTGCAACATAATTATGGCTAACTTGCTCCCATCCAGTGGCCTTCACGAACTCTCACCAGATGCAAGCCCTTTTTTTTCTATACAGTGAGGGTCCTTGTAACCCCATTTATGAATTAAGAATACTGTATTATGTTGGCAATTTATCGCGCTTGTCAGTTACACGCAGCAGATGTGAGATTTGGCTCCGGGGAGGACGGCTGCAACAAAAGGGAACAAGTTTTTGGTTGTAGTTACATGCGTAAGTGAAGTACCGCTGTTAGCCTTAACCCCCGTCGTATTTCTTTTTAGTCGGGGCTGAAGCTTCAGACTTTCCTCTTCTTCTCCCCTTTTCTTGAAATGTGTTCCAGTTGTTAAAATGATGTTGAGCATTAGTGTGGAAGCCTTGCGAAAGCCCCGAGGCAGAGCGCCGCGGACTCCCCCGAGAAAAGCGTCATCGTCCGGGGAGTGTGTTCAGACGAGCCGCTGGAGAAGGATGGAATGGTCTTTTCTTTTTCTTTTTTACATATAAATATCACCCGCACATGTTGCTTCTCGAGCACTGAGCTCTTCGCTTTTTTTCGCTCGATCCACTAAGCTTACTTTTTGTCTGCTCCTGTCTTCCAACCCTTCGGGTCTCTCTTGGTGGGAAGCGGGGGGGGGGTGGATCAGGGGGTGCTGACGTACCAGCTTTCCGTTATCCTGCCCCCGACACCAGACGGATTTCACACGCTGTACGTGTAGCGTAGGGCTCCCGTTGTCGCGCCCCACATTGTTTTGGAGTCGCCGCGCGCCCTCTGTCGCTTTCCCACTCTGACGTCAGGTTGCAGGTGACAGAGAAGGAATTGGGTTTAAAACGCGTTCGAGGGCTTGCCAGCAAAAAGAGGCCCGCTCGGTCTGCTCCAAGTGGTTCGTGGCATGGTTCTGTGCCGCTGGAGGTCACTGTGCTGTGACGGAGTCTGGCTGCTTCACCCATGAGGGAGTCGGTGGGGCCGGCGTGCAGAAGGTGCAGACCTGAAGAGATATTAATGACTCGCTTTGCATAGGATTGAAGTCGCTGGTCGTTTGAGGATTTGAAGTGTAACCCGGCAACACTTTTTCAGAATTGACCTCATACTCTCGTCTTCAAAGGCCTTTCGTTCAGTCCGTTACTCAGCGCGCTTAGCCGGCAGCTACGGCGCTGTATACACCACCGGAGCAGCCAAGTGTTTAAGTGCTCCCTAAATTGTGTTTGCACAGCAGTATAAGTTTACGCTTTTTCCATCGTCTGCTGCTCTGTAGGTTTTATCCTGATAGGTACACAGCCCACGACCTGAGGGAGAACTTCTGCAGGAATCCCAACAACGATCCCGGTGGTCCGTGGTGCTACACCACAGACCCCAACGTGCGAGCCGAGGAGTGCGGCGTGCCGCAGTGTTCAGAGGGTAAGGCGAGCGACGGGGGTTTTGTTTGCATTGATTACCGCCGGAGATAATTCTTGACGAATGTTGCTTTACTCTCGACAGAAGTCTGTATGACGTGTAACGGGGAAAGTTACCGGGGAAAACTTGACCACACGGAGAGTGGCAAGGAGTGCCAGAGGTGGGACTCACCCAGGCCCAACAAGCACCACTTCCAGCCCAAGAAGTAAGCTCCGAAGCTGATAATCACACGCACTGACCTTCTCGGGCGGACAATGACGCACGCACCCATGAGCCAGACGCCTGAATAACCCGACGCCGCTCCTCGACCGGACCAGTTGTTGTGACTTACTTCATTTTCTTCCCTCTCCTTCTCCCCTCTCAGGTATCGGCACAAAGACTTAAGGGACAACTACTGTCGCAACCCAGACAATCGTCTCCGTCCCTGGTGCTACACCATGGACCCCAAAACCCCGTGGGAGTATTGCAACATCACTCTGTGTGGTAAGGGACAAAGTCTTCAACTTGGTTCTTAAGCCCCAGCAACAGCCGGGGCCGCAAGGTCGACTGCAGGGAGTTCTTCAAATTTGGCACAATGTTCCATCTGGATTAGGTTTTGGCAGGTCAAGGGTGACCGTGACCTCACGTCGGTCCCGCTCCCGTCGGCGACATTTCTCAGTAACGGTTCGGGCAAAGTTGTTGTCTATTTTGCCACAAACGTCCGCTTGCACTCAAGGAAGAGCTGAGCTAGAGTAGAATGTGGTGGTCAAAGGTCAAGATCACCGCGACCTCCTTTATCCCATTCTCGTGTTCGCAATATCTCAAAAACACCACAAGCTAATTTCTTCAATTAAGGCAAAAAACATCCTGCTGGACTGAAGGATGAACTGATTCAAGTTTTGGACATCAAAGTTCAGAGTTCGCTGTGACCTCAGACTCATCCAACATCCGGCCAGACACAGATGTGGACATGAGGCTCATAGCTGCCAGGTGGTTATTCTGTTAGTTTTATAGTTTTTCTCAACGTCTAAACGTCCACATAGCATCGAGAATCTCTTTTCTTTCTGCTTTGTAGACAGACCAGACTATTAGTCAGACAGATTAGACTCTGATTTTGGTGCCGCCCGCTATCGTAGTTTTAAGGCATCTTGGGGGTTGAGGGGAGGGGGGGGGGGGGGGGGGGGATTGTGGTGAACAGAGTCAGAAGGTTCCTGTTCTCCCCTGCCGGAGTCTCATGGGGCTTTTGTTTACCCGGATGGGTGTTTCATGTGGTGCTTGGCTTCCAATCCTTTTACCCCAACAAGCAAGAGTAAATAGGTTGTTTGTACAAGGGAGGGCCCGACTTCAGAGAGTCAGAAGTGCTTTACTGAGACCACTCACAGATGACAAGGGGCAGTTAAAACGGAGCGTTACAATGGAGGCTATTATTCAGAGATGCGACACATGATCCATAGGGAGGCATAAGAAATGTGTCTGTGGTAGGAAGATCATGCCAGTGGCACAACAAGGGCAGGGAGGAGTAATCCAGATGCTGTAAAAACCGAGTTAGACAGAGCGGTAGTTTGGATAACTTTGGCCTTCGTCTGTCATGCAAAACACAGATAAAAGTAAAGGATGAGCCCAAAAGCCAATCTTTTCTTTTTTTTCTTCTTTGAAATCACAATGAAATACCGTCACCTGCGCAAAACACGCGGAGCATCTCTCTTTGTCTCCGTCAGACACACACACACACACACACGCGCGCAGTTTACAGTGCGTTTTATGATTTACAGCCAGGGCGGAGATCTGCATTTGTCCAGATGTGCGCATCCCTCAATGCCTGCCCTCAGAAAGATAAAAACCACTGACCTGTACGACGCAGTGCACACAGACACTGGCATGCATTACATCAAGTCGAAGAATCCCTCTTTTCCAGCTTCTGCCTCAAAACATTCCCCTTCCTCCTCCGTTTCTCCCATCTCGTTTGTCAAAGGCTAAAGAAACAGAGACAGTAATCCAGAGGGGAGAAGTCGCTCCCCGTGCGCCGCCGTCCTTGCGCTGCTGAAAAGCAGAATTCCATCCGAAGATGTTTGGAATAGTTTTCTGGAGGGATAAAGTCACCCGAGCCGGACCGGGTTGGATGTGATGTCTTTGGTCGGGCCGCAATAAACAGGAACAGGATTGCGATGTTTAACGTTCAGGCAAAGGTGCATTCGTCTTATTCAAAGGGGAGCCGGTTTTACTTCAGCAACCATGGGACACTATGTGCCGTCGGCAAGTCAGGTTACTGCGTGTTATTGTTCCAACCTGCACAAATGTGGTGCACCGGTTTTACGAATACACAGAAAGTTTCCTATCGTAGTTCAGAGAACGTCGCTTCTGTTTTTGATCATCTTTCTCTCTGGTTATGAATGACACATTCTTCCGGGGATTAATATCTCCCTCCCTCCCTCCCTCCCTCTTAAATCTAATTCACTAGCACAACTTCTTTCTCATGCCAAATCCTCACAATGTCTCTTTCCTTTCTCTGCTAGATTCTGACTCGTGTGAAGACATAGACGTCAACGTCACGACGTCCTGTGTCCAGGAAAAGGGCACCGATTACCGCGGCACGATGAACGTCACGCCAGAGGGTGTGAGGTGTCAGCGATGGGACTCCCAGTCGCCCCATAACCACTCCTTTCTTCCTCAGAACTTCAGATGCAAGTGAGTGAAGTCGTGGCCCACCGGCTGCTTGCCCTGAAATGCCAAAAGGTCACGTGATCTTTGCTGTGAATGCATCAGCACTATCATTTAAATTGCAGTTTTCGTATGTGCTACAGGGACCTCAGAGAGAACTACTGCCGTAACCCCGACGGTGCAGATTACCCATGGTGCTTCACTACGGACCCGAGTCAAAGGACAGCCAACTGCACCCACATCCCCAGGTGTGACGCTGAGGCCACAGAAAAAAATGGTGAATTACTTTGCAATTTCAATTTTAAAGTCTGTCATTTTGCATGTTTCTCTGCTTTATATTTATAGAAATGTCCACATAAACCTGCTTGTTTTTTTATTTACTAAAGCCGCTTTTTCTGATTTTGCTGAAGCGCAACGTGAGGTTTAAAGATTTTTTTCTCAAACGGGGGCCTTCGACATTAAATTCATTGAAACCACAAAGATCATTTTCAAAAATCTGAACTTAATATGTTATGTTTGTATCAATGTCAAAGACAGCCACCACCCAAATCATTTGTGTAGTTTTGGGGGTATTGCTAACTCACTGATTGTATTTAAGTGTTTGAGAAACTGCAGGACGGTGTAATTCAATGCCCTCCTGGGAATGTTTAATAAGATGGTCTGAAATAATACTATCCGGTTCCTCCTCAGAGTGTTATGAGGACAACGGAGAGGCATATCGGGGCACTTTATCCATAACTCGATCCGGTATTCCCTGTGCAGACTGGTCACATCACATCAACAGGTAACGGGGTTGTTCATTCAAGCTCAGTAATCGTGTTGTTTGGCTGCGAGCTGAATCTGTGATGGGAAACCCTGGAGATGTTTCCAAGAGAGGCTGGCATTCTTTTCAGCTCAGTGTTTGTTGATGACAAAAATCCCTCTCCTATAAATGAAGCAAAGGAGTGAAAACAAACAGCGAGAGGAAATCCGGGGTTGCTCAGGGGTCAACACCAGGCCCAATTATTATTCATCTAACTGACGAGAGGAAACCCTTGGGTTCTCTCCAAGTGACCCATCCTGACGCAAAGGTTGCCCGCTGCGGTGTTGTTGCTCCACGCTTAAGTCGGGCTGTTGGAATGACTTAATTTACAGGAATTTTAAAAGTCAAACTGGCACAGACAGATGGACATGTTCCAGAGCCGACCCCTGACCCCAGGAAGTGCTTTCTGAGGAAAGTAGATCAAAGCCAATCAGCTCCCTCGCATAGACTGTAGCCAGGGAGTCTACCCCGCTCAAGGTCAAGGGTCATCCGGGGAGAAACTGCTGAGAGCCGCGGCTTGCTTAACATTCTCCCGGGAAGTGGAATTATCTTCACCTCTTGACAAATTGTCGCCCACCGCTCAACGTTATTGCTGCGCGCGTGTGTCCAAACTCTTACAGATCAAAACACTTTTTCTGGGATATTTCCGACGCTTAATTCTCCCACAGTCGCGCGGAACATTTCAAAATGATTCCCAATTAAATGTGAATTCCTACAAATCGGGGGGCTCAACGGAATCGCTCCGCAGAGGACGCGGCTCCTGCTGGTCTGAGCGTTGCCGAATGCTTGGAGCGCATACTTTCATACTCCCATGTGTACCCTTCACAAAACTCTGCCTTTCCTTCTACGGGCTCCCTGCAGCCAATGCAGAGGATTCATTGCACTCTACGAAAGCCAGAGTCAAACTTTCCAGGCATAACATGGTCAGTTACAGTGTGTATGTACTGTGTGCGCTTGATGGGATGATGTGTGTGTGAATCTCAATGGAGCCCGGAGTTAGTTCTGATACACTGTGTGAGAAATAACAAATGGAATATGAGAATCTGTATTTGTTTGTCTTGCAGCGGGGATTCTCACTCCACGGAGTCCCATGTAGGGCTGGAGAAGAATCACTGCAGGAACCCGGACCGGGACAAACATGGCCCCTGGTGTTACACCAATCCAAATAACCGTCTGGCCTGGGACTACTGTAACCTCAAGCACTGTGAGGGACGTCATTAACATTGTCGCGTCCGTCTCGAGTAGCAGTAGATGCATCTGCGTTACGTCAGACACTCGATACGAGTTGAGAAAACCCGTCGGACAAGAAAACAAATAAAAATCCTCTGTTTGTAAGAAGATAAATCTGTCGCCAGAGCCAGGAGCTGATTAGCTTAGCTTAGTTTGAGGACTCAAAACACAGGTTGAACTGCAATTTATTCTGTTTACACTTATTATTTTGTGCAGATCACACAAACAAGATATTACGTGTTCATTTGTGAGCCTTAGAGTGGCTGGGAGGTGGATTTCTGATTATATTCGAGCGGAGCCGGACCAGTTGATTCACACTGTTTGCGGTCTTTGTGCTAAGCTAAGCTAAGCTATTGAGTGCAGTGAATTACTGTCCATTCATTTGAAACCATTTCATCACCCTGCTCGGGATATACTTTTTTTTTTTTTTAATTACGCACGCCGCTGCTTCGAGCCAGAGCCGGATGCAGGAATTAGGACCACTTGTTCGTAGCGGGCCGTGAAGCTCTTGAGCAATGGGGGAGGTAAGATGTGAGTTGAGGTCAGCGGCTCTGAACATATGACGACAAGAAGGATTTACAGGCTAGAAACAAGTATCTTGTGAGCCTTTCAGGCCGTATCTCTGAAAGAGTTAGTCGACGTTCAATACATGACAGTGTTGCTTTATGAGCGCAGTTCGATGAAAGCAGTCCTACGCGAGGGATTTAACGGCGCGGCCCTTTTTTGGTGTTTTCACACAGCTTGGTTTGCGCAATCTTTTAGCCGTGGTTTCATCCAATTGGCAGTGAACACACATACGCGCAAACATCAAACGCACGCAGGTCTCCGCTGCTGTCTTTTTATTGGAGAAAACACGCTCTGCGGCGGCCGGACACAACATTTTTCGGCTGGTTTCAATATCGCCTTCGTTTCAAATGGCTGCAAAATACTTTCCGTAATGTAAAACATATCTCCCATGAAGCTGTTGAGGTCTTGAGCGAATTTATTTTCTGCCTGTTGAAGCCGCCCCAATGAGGCAGGGTTTGGAGATAAGTCTTTTTTTTAAGCAAAGAAGAGTCTTCAACGCAGTGTCTTTGTGCGAGTGTACGGTCTGGTCTGAATGGCTTCCTGCTCTCTCCTGACCGTTGTTCTTTTCTTTATTTCTATCAGGTGAATCAGCTGCAGTGGCTCCGCAATCCAACAGTGAGTATCGCTTAGCCTCATCTGGCTCTTACCAGTCTAGTCCTCTTCCTCTTATCTCAAATCTCGTCCTTGTTCCTCTCTGCTCTTTATATCAAATCCGTCTGTCACGTGCCCGACCAAACAAATCATATTTTATGGTTTCCTTTTGAAGTTTTTTAATAAACGTTTTCCCATTCAAATGGAAATGATACATCCATCTAACCGGCAGCATAAAACTGTCTTCTCCTTCAGCTTTAACTGGGCCCAAGATATCGTGTTTTGTGCATATAAACACAAGAATTGTGGGAGGACACCAAGTGCGAGGTACAGATGGAAGCTGGGTGGTCAGCATCCAAAGAGAGTAAGTCCCTGTACATTTATGCTTTTTTTTCCTCCAAATATATCAATCCATTCATCAATGTAATAGCAAAGATGTTCTTAGGAAGGTCCATTTGTGCGGGGGCTCGTTGATCAGAGAAGATTGGATTTTGACAGACCAACAGTGCTTCACCTCCTGGTAATGCTCCACCTTTTTCATCTGTGCCTGACAGGTTTTTACCAAATGTGTCTCTTGTTTGCCTTTTCCATTCAGCCTCTGTCTGTAGGTTGTCTTAGCGTGAGACCCTCTTTATGATATAGTTTAAAGCCTAGATGCAGGATGACAAATACTCCCAGTACAGGCCGGACCTGCGATGTGCAGCAGCAACGGTTTGGTCTGCAAATCGACTTAACTTCTACGGATGTCAGATCCCGACATGTACATTTAGTATCTCTCCATCTAAAGTAGTGGCTTTAAAGTAAATGCTGCTTTCTCTGTAGCTGTGCACAGTTCCGTATGTACAGCATGTGGTGCCCATCAGTAGCTATCCGCTGATACTGGGCCCGTGTGGGTCGTTAAAACAACATGTTCTCCTTTGAGGCTTTTCTTTTTGTCTTTACTATATTTTGTCATGTTGTCGCGTTTTTCAAAAGAAGGCCGATTGAGGTGACATATTACTCTTAAATTATAATTATGGTGATTGTGTTTTCTGTAAAGCAGTCGTTCCCAACGTCTGGGTCGGGGCCCGTAAGTGGGTCGCAGGCGTATAAAATGTATATCTGTAGTACATCTTTGATCCACATGAGGGAGCATGAATGTTCATATTGTTTTGTTAATAATATAATTATAATTATACCCCCCTTATACCATTGAATCTAATATGAAAGGCTGTTGAACTTGTGTATCAATAAATCCCATGATGCACCTGGGATCGTTTGTCTTATATGTCGTTACAGTTCAACTGCACCTTAAATATAAACTTTACAATATTAATCACAGCCATGCACAAGACACAGACAAGAGGCACTCCAGCAATGTAGTAGTAGTATTATTTGGGGGGAAAAGGCCTAAATCTCCTGACTTTTAGGCTTTAGTGTGTGTCGAGCTCCAATAACACTAGATCCCACAATGCAACACCCTTCATCTGGTCGCTCCCCTAAACGCGGACTTTGGTCAAATCCCACACCTCCGGTTTGTGATGCAGGCTTACTGTTGAAAGTTTAAAGTCTAAAGTCCCAATGTCACGGTTTACATCTGACATTGCGGCCCTTGTGGTCGCCAGTGTTCCAGATCTCCGGGATTACACCGTGCAGGTTGGTCTGCGCCACCTCAACGAGTCCTCCGGCCACCCGAGACTCCGCATCTCTCGCCTGATCTGTGGCCCGGAAGGATCCAACCTGGTTATGCTGAAACTGGTGGAGTAAGTCCTCAAAACCTCACCCCTATTTGCCTGCTGTGACTCTTACCCCCACGTGCCTGTCGTCATGTTTTATTTTTCCCCCTAATTTACGATTAAGTGCTGTGTGTGTGTGTTCTAGCCCGGCCCCGGTGTCTGAAGGGGCCTCCACCATTCATCTTCCAGTAAAAGAGTGTCACATCCCCGAGGGCACCAACTGCACCATGTATGGATGGGGGGAAACCAAAAGTACTGCCTTCTCTCGTCCATAAATCATGCGGCGGTGCCTTTTTTCGGGCGCCATTCAAACAAAACGCGCGTCTGTTTACGTTTGACAAACGGTCCGTCTGTCTTCCTCTGTTCAGACACGGGACACGATGAGGCGCTGAACGCTCTGACCATGCCCATGGTCAACAACGACATGTGCTCGCAGATCAAAGGCGACGCCGGGGAAAGACGAATATGTGCCGGCGGGAAGAGAGGAGAAGGCGTGTGTGACGTAAGAGACGACCGGAATGCACCAGAAGTACATTTCTTACTTTGGCTTTGCACAAAAATATTATAGAAGTGTTCGGTATCAGACGGTTGTGAACACCACTGAATTGAAGGTACGCGCGGTGCTGCGCTGCTGTCCCTCTGAAGTGTCCTCCTCTCCCCGTCCCTTCGCAGAAAGACAACGGCGGTCCGTTGGTTTGCCAGGAACACGAGCGCAAAGTGGTCATCGGCGTGAGCATCCAGAGGACCAAATGCGCCTCGTCGCAGCCCGCGCTGTTTGTCAACGTGGCCTTCTACTCGGAGTGGATATACAAAGTGTTCAGGCTTTACCCCAGTTTGGAGAGGAACTGATGACGTGGCAGGTGGGGGGGGAGAGGGGGGGCGGGGGGGGGGGTAGAAGCCCGTTCACAGCCTGCGAGAAGAGGGATGGCTTTGGACCAAAATTCCAAGACGTCTCCAGCATGGACCGCGGGGATGGAGAAGAACAACTTCTGGAAAGTCGCCGTTTGGGGATTTAATGGCCGCATTTGTCATCTCAGCGAGATGACAGACCAGTGGGTGAAGACTGGAAGAGGGAAATGGAATCTCATCCCGATCGTTAGCGTCCACATCATCACGACAAAAGCCTCCAGCACACGGACCACAATTCCAATTGTATTTTAAAATCGGGACGCGACCCAAAAAAAGACAACGAGAATGACACACGTGACCGAATATTATCTACCTGGAATATACTTGAATGTGGACAGAAGACAGTTTTCTGAAGGTTACCACGTGTCGTCCCCTCCTGTGACTGTGACTTCCTGTTTTGGACTTCTTCGCAAACCATATCAACTCCAACACTAATAACTGTTGTGTTGTGTCCACCAATATACTAATTTGGTCATAGATTTGAGCATGCTTTACAAATCACACGACAAAAATATTATTCAGTTTTCTGAAGTGATCCGACAAAGAATTATGGTGATATGGAAAGAGAACAATATAAAAATTAAAATAATATTATACGGTAAAGTAAAAACAATTAAAGTCCCTTCAGGTAAATTGTAATATGTAGAATACACTAATGCTGCTTGAAAAGCTTCCTGCAGCCGTTGCAAACCACGCAGTGTGTAATCGTGTGCAGTAGCTGGACTACCTTTTCCCCGGTTAGCTGTGACTGTTCGATTCCCTGCGAGAGGGTCGACGGAGGACTGAGCGAACGCGCCGCAAAGTCTTATGCTAGTATTTCTAGCACGAGAGAGCGAACTGCCGAATGTAACGTGGCCATTTGGTCTCCTGTTTGGAGGGAACTTTGGCCCCTGGTGGGCTGTGTGTGGTCAGTAAGCCGCAGATTCAATGTTGTCTGCTGCGCTGTAAGATATTATAGGTCTTGTAGATCTGGAATATATTTGGTCCACTGAGTAATGTCAGATTGGCTTCTTGATGCCTTTGATTATGTTTGATATTTAATGAGACTGGTAGTTTTTTATTAGTATTTAGTTGTATTTATTTTTTTTAAAGCAAAAGTGATCTTTCTATTAAAAAAAAAAACCCGAGTTTGGATCGGGGATTTTTTTTTTTTTTTTTTAGAGAGTATTTAGCCCCCCCCCCCCCCCCCCCCCCCCCCCCCCGACTAACTGGGGTCGCGGTTAAAAGCCACACAAACATGAAGTGACAGGCTTATTTAGCTAAATTTGCAAAAATGCAAAAATTTGCAATGCATATCTCATGTGTTGAAAGCACAAATAAATATATTCAAATACAGGCATTAGATTATGGAAGTAAATTGAAATGCTCTTGTCTTGATATTATGATTCCAGTTGACACTAAAAGCACTGTGTTTTACTCATGTTTGTGTGGCTACAACATCCATGTACACGAGCGTCAGCTCTAAAATGATTCCTATCACGTGGAAAATGTTACAGGGCAATAAAAAACACACATTAATATCAAGGGGCTTTCCCATCAGCCGTTGAGTTGGTTTCAAAGACTATTGACTATTACACAATTAAATTATAACTCTGGCCCTGATCCTCTTGCACAGGTCGAAACCAAGGGGAAAGCCTATCGAGTACTGATACGAACGAAGACTGTTTCATTAGAGGCGGACTGAGACGAGTGAAACCAAATATCTATCCTTGGCCAACGTGGCAGATCTCATGACTGTATTTTAAACTGATTGTCAGGCATTGTAACTGTTATTTAATTTACCTTAATGTAAATAGCCCAGTGCATTCTGTAAATGACACTTTGTAATTTTTGTAAATGACATACTTAAGTCTTTTTTTACTTACATGATCATTCTGTTTATATGTTTCTATACTGTAAACTTTAAATATAACAGCTGCTATTTGGTGTTAGTGAGTTGTTTTATATGTATGACCTTTTCTGAATTTTCTAGCCTTTTGTATTATTACAATTTTAATAAACAACACGATGTTCACTCAGGCTTTTCCTTCTCCATTCCTCTTCCTCAGCTTTCCCCCATGTGTAATATGTTTAAACGAATACGCCAGAAGCGCACGCTTACCGTTTTGGCCGTTTACTCTCTTTATCACTCGGAGCTGCGAATTCTAGCGCGTGATGAATATTCTTAAGAGACGGAAAGCAAAGCAACAAGGGTCGTAAATACAGCCACTGCAGGAGATGAATAACAACGTGTCCGAAGGAGCATTTAGATTACAGATTTGGACACCCCATACTTCAGTGAGATACTGCACAAGTGAACTTTTCAGCGGCTCGGAGACCTTCGGTTGCTCAATGTGAGACGTTGTTTATGCTCCAAATGGGAGATTCTATTTTGTAACCCCAGCGGGTCGATTGAGGAAACCTAAATACAGAGCGATTAAAATCAACTGTGCTAAACTGTCAAAAGTAAAAGTGCTCCTCGGCAGATAAAATGAGCCACTTTGTTGGCATTGTGGACATTTAATAGATTTTCAACGCTCATGCTCGTTACTCTGTGGTTTAGTCCAGTGGTTCGCAGAGGTCGCCCAATAAGTCATTTATAAGCTGACCATATCCATCTATGTCAAAGTGTCAATCAATATCCAAGAACTTACTGGTTGCTTTACGGTAAAGTAGTAAATCCAATTAAAAAGTGCTTTCTGGCCCATACTAGAGGAACCCCACTATCAGCAACATTAAAATGGCCTTAACTTAAGTAAATAATATTCCCAGTTCAATAACTGCGCTAAATCTATTTAAAAAGGCTTGTGGATGATTTACATTCGCAGTGTAAATCCTTATACAAATGCACTGGCTTCATGCATCCAACGGGTCAGTTTTTAGCCGGTAGGCCGCTTCCATGCTGCTGACCGAGCGCTTTGCCTCCTGATCCTGACCTCGTCCCCGAGTGACCAATTACCCAAAAGAACTGCGAGGTCTCACCCTCTCTTTGCTGCAGTAAAGGGATATAAAGGAACTCGATGCCGCCGCACTGCTGGGGTCATAAAAGCTGATACGGAGCGGAGCAGATATCGAGTCACGTTTGGACTTTTTGAAGCTGGGCTTTTATAGACTTTCCCGCTGGCCTTCCCCTGGAAAGACATCTTGGACGAGATCCTTTACGTCCTAATGGAGTTGTGATTTATGTCACAGTAGTGTGGGGCATCCAGGTAGAGTTACGCTCAAATACCCATGTATAATTTCTGTTTCGGTATACTCTATCAGCCATAAATGTACCCCATTAAAACCCACACCCTTTCCAGAACAGCCCGTGTGCATTGACTGAAACGCTCCTTTGAGAAGTCCACCTCATTTCAAGGAAACTCACATAAATAAAACCCATCATCACTTCTAAAACAAACATAAGCATGTTTTGCATCCATCTTTATTCAGCACTAAATGTCTTAAGAGTTTAGTCAAATAAAATCCATCTGGGTTGTCTGACGTTAGGCCGTATCATTTGAAGTAGCAGTAATGAAGTGAATTTATCAGTGAGTGGGGGGGTATGAGTGGGGGGGGTATTAGTGACAGGAGTGGAACTCCAGTCCTCTGTCGCCCCCTGCTGGTTAGAACCAGCTACACCCCGGGTTCCCAGAGACTTGAGCTTCGTAGCTGTTTGACACTTTTAGTCCAGGCGGCACAGGTGACGTGGCCTCCCGTCCCACGGCTGCTGCGCAAACACGAACCTCTCGTCGTTGCGAGTCTGGCCCCAGGTGAACGGAACCCCCTGGGGGTTCCAGGACTGCGTCCAACGGCGCTCTGTTCTCGGTGGCTCGGGGGCCACGGGGACGGAGGCCCTTGCGTCCGCCTGTCGGTGAACCAAAGGGAGGGTGAATCCACCTCCGCGGTGACCCACCGGGGTCTTGTCTGTCGTGGTCTGGGCCGTCGTGCTGCGAGGCGGGTGGAGGAATGAGGGTTGGACTGAGATGGATGTCTTATCGGCGGAATGGCTCGTACCTGCACATTGAAGGAATTCAAAACATTAGTTGTTTTCTCTGCCTAATCGGGGTGGGGGGGGGGGGTCTATGTTTGAGATACACACCCACCCTGTGTGCCACTCCTGTGTTTGGCTTCCCTCCTCAATTTAGCCCGTCTGTTTGAAAACCAGACCTGAGAGAGGAAAGAAGATGTGAGATTTTGGGAATTGGGTCTCGACACAGCGATGATTCAAAAGGACGACTCTACCTTGATGGTGTCCTCGGGCAGACTGATCTCAGCGGACAGCTTCTCCCTCGTGTACATGTCTGCATATTGGCTCTGGGAGAATTCTGAACCAGGAGGCAGAAAACATGGAACTGGGCTCTTGAGGGGGATGAAAGGCTTGAGACGTGACGTGGACCCTTTGAAGATGTTTAAGTTACCTTGCTCCAGCGCTGTGCTCTGCTCCTGGGTGAAGGTGGTGCGGTTTCGGTGCCGGGGGTCTTTGGGGCGGTGGTCGTTATCACGTGCTGTCTCGGACATCTTTCTCTCTCTCACTTCTTCTTGAATCAGAGACTCAAAATCTGCAGGAAATACATATATTGCATTGGCTTGCTAGAAATCATGAATGCTTGTTACACATAAAAAATCTTTGTCAGGCCACCCACATTTGAATGTCCAGCATTTTTGCTATATATTGCCAAAATAGTCAAACCTGTCAGATTAAATTAGTTATATAGGAAAATTGCATTTGGCCCTTGGATAAAGGTGACGGTCATCCACCCGCTGACCTTCACAGGGGAACTCACACTGCTCTGTTCTCATGTGCGCATTGATCTCCATGCACATCGGCCCGTGGTCCAAGTGAATCCTTCTGAGAATCCGATTTATGGAGGACACCTTGCAGAACACAGCGTGCAAAATAAAGTTATTTGTGGATCAATATAACTTTTAGGAAGGAAACAAACTTTAATTTCGAGCTCCCTTACGCTCGGAACTTTGGAGGGTTTACACATCCGTGCTGCCGCCAGACGTTTACGAATTTCCCAAGCAAAGATCGTTGGATGCTCCCTTTTGCACTGGATGATGGTGGAGATGACCCCGGGGGTGAGGAGCCGAGGTCTGCTGCCCCCGATGGTTTTGGGCACCAGGAGTCCAGTCCGGCGGTAGCGACTCAGGATCTTACTGACGCACCCGCTGGACACCTGGAATACGCACAGGGTTAAAACCCCATTAAATAAGGCATGGACTCACCCGTGCATGTGAATGTACACACAATATCTGACCTACTTTAAATGGGGTCATGTGTGCAACTTTGTTGTTTTTTGCATACCCGAAGTATCCTGGAGATCTGGTTCGGTCGGACTCCCTCGGTGGCCAGTTCAATCATTTTCCTCCTCTTGGGTTCTGGGAGAGGTCTGCCGTTGAGAAACATCCCTCCCAGCTGGTTGACGCTCCCGCCACCTTATTGTAACACAGCCTGCACTTTTTAAATCTGTCTTTAGAATAGCGGTTTAAATTGCGTATTTGTCTAAAATCACATTTAAACTTACTGTGTTTAGGTCCCTAAGAATATAATAAAAAGTATTTTCCCCATCATTTTAAAATTGCAATATTCACCTTCATTTGTTGGATGGTTTGTCCCGTACATCTCCGCTCGCTCCCGCACTCAATGGTGAAACCAAAACGCGCAACGTTCTCCGCGCGTAACGACTCCACGTCGCCGTCCAGGTGACTCCTCGTCTCTCTGGTGAATGACAATGAGGTGGAATGACGCCCTTCAGCATACATTTATAGGCCTGCTGACCTCGACATGTCGTGGAGCCTCTTGCCTGAAGTGTCAATACTGCCTGCAAGTGAATGTGCGCCTCACGGGCTTAAAATTGACTTTAGGTTATATGGCTTTAAATAGGACACACGGCAACTTTCTTGGTTCCACTTGGATTTTTTACGAGACAAACACCCAGTAGTTTGATTTAATGGAACATGCAGAGGAGGGTAGAACGATTGAGTAATGTTAATTCAGGAAGATTCCTAAAGAGACCTCCGAGTTTTACAAATTGTTTTTCTAAATAATTACGTCTAGATTTGAACGATATAATATCGTATTCACGCTTAAAGGTTTTACAGGATTCTGCACATCACACACAAAAATAAAAAAGATAAACAATAAAACACTTGTCCTCGACAAACTTAGTCAAATAAGATATAACACTTGATAACGCTGAGCCAGAACAGTGGATTAATCATTTATTGTTTTTATAATAAATGATCTCCCCCAGAAACAGATATTTTCCCATTTTGATCGATATACATTTTGTTTTTTTAGTTAAAAATGTACTCAATTTCATTTGTAACTCAAAAATCAACAGTAATCGTTTATTTAAATTGGAGAACTATGACGCATTTCCCTTTGCGCAGAGGCTGCTATACGGCCTCTTTTTAAATGACTTTTTCAATGCAACACAATTTAGTCTTTACTTCACAATTTGATCAACACTGGCACGTTTCCCCTTCTGTAAAGGATAGGGGGGGGATATGTGATCACGTGACGAGGGCATCCTTTCCCAGGTTAAAGATCCCTGTTCTTTTTCATAAAACAAACATTTGAAAATCTGCGCCAATGACGACTAGCATATGGTAAAGTGCTTTTGATAAATCATAAATCCATCACCCAGTCTCTCTTTATTACATTTTCTTTCAAAACGTGAACAAATATACTCGTATGTGAGCGCGAGGAAAGGGCCAATTGGGGCACCTCGTTTATCCAGAGGAGGGAGGCTAAAATAACCCTCACAGATGTTCTTTGGGCAGCCAGCAGATAAAAATGCGTTGTAAACGTTTCAAAGGGAAATATTTGACAAGCAAATATTAGCCTATGTGAAAACCCACACAAGGCTCGTCTTTGGGCCTGTTTAATGACTAATTGAATATCATTAGTTGGGTCCACACAGATCGAAGAGCCACCGAAATAAAGGCTCACATTTTAAAATGCCATATGGCCCAAATTATACATTAACCATGAGTTAGAGGACAATAATACTCAGCACAATCAGCCAGGTTAGATAGAGGACAGCCATTTTTTGGACACCATCATCTCCTTGCCAACCGAGACAAAGAACAATTAAGGAGAGCTTTTTTATTTATTACCGGGGAGTTGATGTGGTCATTGATTTATAGTACTTTATTGCACGCGCAGTGTGTGCCATACGAGGTTGAATAAAGTACTTAGGTGTTGTTGTTAAAAAAATAATAATAAATAATCGTGGCGCGTAAATTCTTATCTGGGCTCGCCAAAGGAGGGAACGGCATTTAAGTGTCTCAGTCCATGCCACAAAATGAGTATACATCTTACCAACACATCTAAGGTGTTTGTTTAGAGCATAAAACATATATATCAATGATGTGCTGCGCCCTGCAGCGTCGACATACGTGGTTTATTCATCCGCGTAAAAAGGTTACCAAAAGCTCTCCAAAGCGCACTAAGGTGCCGTGTGCACAACTGAGCTGCCTCCCCGGTCGCTCGTTATTTATGGTCTTCACCCTGTTGTGACTTTCACGTGTCGTTCATGTTTTATGTCTTATTCTTAAAGATGAATGTTTTGTCTGTGCCGTGAATGAGAGCGTTTGTTTTTGTTCATCTTTATTAATGGAGCAAGTGTCCCACGTGGCCAGTTGTGCCGTGTTTTTTTTTAGCAGGCAACCATCGTTCATCGATTCTAATATGTTATTTAATTTTGACATGCTTCGTTTTCAAAGCAGCACGATGTTATGACCTTAAAGTCTTTGGTAGAAATTTGAAACGTGCTTTATTTCTCATGATTTTAAGGCTCCGAGTTGGATAAACAACAAACCAGCAGCACAACAACAGACCGGCGGCATTGCTGTTTTCAAAAGTCCCTCTTTATTTTTGAAAGTGAAGAAGAGTTGGTGAATTTGGTGGGTTTTTTCTTACCTTGTGCAACACGCTATGACAAATTCTTTATGCTATTTGAATAAATCACCCATTCTTCTGAACAATATCATCAATATACACCATTCCAAACATTAAGAGCTCCTAAATTCACATTACCCGAATTGTGTAGAAATTCCAAGTTAATCTTTCCCTGTTTTTAAACAACACATAGAAAACATAGAAAACATGAGATCAAGCATACATTTCCAAATTTGAATCCATCAAACCACAAACCTCTGGAGAATCATCACAAGACGCCATCTGTCTGTCCTTCTCTCTCTTTCACACAAAGACTCTTTTTCCCTCTCTTTTAGGGAAAAAAAAAAACGAAAAAACGTATTTGGCCTGTGAATATTTAGAATAGGTCCCGTGAGAGTTAAGGTTATTTTCCATCAAGGCTCCGCTTCCCTCTCACATCTAAGAGCTGCCTAGTACAACCGAAACAGAGCAAAACAGAACATGCAAAATAAAATATAAATCTTATTCAAGATGATCCCCTGAAAAATCTGGTGACATTCTCTGTCATTACTATTGTCATTATTGTTACATGTCATTATTACTTGTTATGTTGCTGTTTTGTTGTTCATCCAACTCTTTTAAACCATGAGGAATAAAACACGTTTTATGCTGCTTTGAAAATGAAGCATGCCAAAATGATGCTGTGAAAGTCCAAATGTCTGACGTGACGAAGGTTCATAGGATAATCAACTCTTCTGTTTTGTATTGTTTCACTATATTTGGGCTGTAAACCTCGTTAAACCACGTTGTGTAGTGTAGTCACAAATAATAATTAATAAAAATGATCTTATTATTAAATGATTATACATGCAGTTTGGGGTTAATGTATTTATTAAGAAAAAAAACATCAAACAAAATACAGTGCAACAAAGAGTGTAAAAATAATCACAATCTGACTACTTATTATCGGTTTTAATATCCATTAAACAATCACATTTCATGCAAAATATATTTATGCCACCCCACAACATGTCCCACATATTATGCACTCTCAAAACTCTAACCACTGTTTATTTCTGACTACAGTTGAGCTGCAGTATTTTAGTCTGTAGCCTACTTCTTCCCCTACTTCAAATTCGGATCAACGTCTGTTTGAAGTTCAGATTCAACATTTCCGACGCCCCTCGAAGGCAGCATCAGCTGCGTTAACGCTACGCTGACGTGTCGAACCTCTTGCTCCGGAAGACTTTACTTCAACTTGCCCGTGCGGTCGCGAGCCTGCCCCGTTCGCTCCCATTCATTCCGCTCTCCCGGACCCGGAACGAGTTCGACGTGTGTGTGCATGCATGGCAAAGTGTGTTTCCGGTATAACGTGTGTGTTGATCGTCGCTCAGCCTTTTTTCCTCTTGGCTTTCAGTAGAAGAGTCCCAGCTCCCTGACCTGGTCACCCCTTTTTAACGGCGTTGTATCTCAAACCAGTGGACATGGCATCTGTTTCGGCACCGAGTCAGGCTGCCCCTTCTCCGGCTGCTTCTCTGCAAAGAGGAATTGTGAAAATGGTAGGAATCCCATCATAAGAATATGTTACCCCCCCTCCCTCCCTGCGAGTCTGGAGTATATGGGCATACAGCTAGTTAAGTTAGCCAAGGGGTTCATGGACGCTGACGTTTCACTTAACGTCACCGTCTGTTGTCATACAACACGAATGGAACTGATTCTGCCACATGCATGCAGCTGTCTGTTGAATACCACCGCTGGCAACGTGTCACTTAACAACTGTCACTGACATGTAGCCCACCTAGCTGCGGCAGCCTGCCAGCTAGCATTAGCCGCGTTGCTACAACAATTGCTAGCATGCTAATGCGCTGAATCCCATTGACGTTAGCACATGTTTGCTATCATGCTAGTTGGTTGTAGTGATTTAACCAACGTTTTGAGCTGAACTGTCCAGCGTATTAAAATACGTTACGCCGACAAAAGGAACCGAAGTTGTTTTAAGTTGCTTTTAGTGGAATTTCTACCACAGTTTACCAAAAACTTTAACATAGTAACTTAACAGTATTGCTAGCAGATGTTCAGTTTCCCAGCTATTTGGCTGGCTAATTGCTAGCTATTAGCGTTTATTTTCCAGAAACCTGTGTCTTTATGAATAAAGTCCGCGGTCTGTACTGCTACTGGCCGCGGAGGAGACCGTGTTCACGCAAGTCGAAGTCATTCAAGCGACTGGCCATTTCTAAATGAGTACTTAGCCAAGTAGCGTACGAGCTAGCCCCCGAAAGCCTCAGCTAACGTTAGCTAATATCGTTTTTATTATTGCTCCTCGCAACATTTCCTGTAAATGCAATTGCGTCATCTTTCAGCGTTTTGAAGCACCGGTTTGTTGGGAAATCTACTATCATGTGCGCTGGTTAATGTGTGGCTACATTCCTCGAGTCACATATTCTCTCCCCCCTCCTTCCCTCTCCCTCCCCCAGTGTGCTGCATAGAAACCGACCACTGGAAACTGACACGTAGCTACAACTTCTCAAGCCCCCGCGAGCTCCCACTCAGCTGGGCTGTGTGAGACCTCTGCGTGGTCCGGTCCTTGATTTCGGTTTATCTGTAAAACAGCGAGATAAGGTTCAAGGTTAACAGAGTTTCTATTCGTTACTATGTATGCATTCATTGCATAATTTTAGTTCTGCGGTTTGGCCCGAGGTCGGTTGGCTGAGCAGACCCACGCTTGTCTCCTGCGTGCCACCACGACCCAAACGGACCGGCACACTAATACAACCTACTGTGTGTGTATGTATGTGTGTGTTAGTGTTGGTAGGGGAAGTGTATTGCCACAGGCATTGGAAGAAGGGCTGCTTTTAGAACTGTGGCCACTACAGTAAACTGGTAAACACTCCCCCCCCCCCGGGGAAGTGATGATGTGCGTCGGTTACACTCTGGTGGGTTGTTACCGAAGGCACGGAGAGATTTGTCAACCATCTGTCAGTGCACCATTTTCTCAGTCGTTGGATTCATATCATTTGGCTAGAATTGGATTTTAAATAAACTTTCACACGGCCCACACGATTTAAATGTATAGGAGGACCTGCATTGATTGCCCTGATCTAATGAAGTCAACTCTGCGCCTTGAGAATGTTGATCAAGGAGTTGAGCAAAGCCCTGTAGTACCCTCCCCCACCCCAAGTGGAACTTTTGGTCCCTTTTGCAAACACAGAAGTGCACAGGATGCCCTTTTCATTTTTTCATCCCTGGCCAGTGTGTAAAAATGACAACCGGTCACTTGCCAGCCAGGTCGTGGGCAAATGCTGGTGATCAGACAGAAGACTTTATCTGACCCACATCTTAGATCAACAGCCCCCCTCCCCCGATGATGCTCCCCGCAGACACCCTGGAGAGTCCGCAGATAAAAGCTGTTTGCTCAGATTCGTGTAAATGCCATGGTTGTCAAACCCAAGAGTAGGTTATCTTTTCAGATTTGAGTGACAGACTGTCTCCACGGCAACGAGTAGTTGCTTTCCCGGCGGCACAATAGCTTTCCGTGCTACTCTGACATCAAGATTCATCAAAATCTCTTTTCTTAACTGGAAATAGATTCGCATCCCCTGAGCGTGGCTGTGATAATGACCCGTTCTAATGTCTTTTATTTGTCATTACTTTACAGGTGTCGTTGTCTGCTATTTGCTCGTGAACGGCACAGTGTGTTGAAGATGGCGTCTGCGCTTGCGGGATAAATAATCGTTCTGTCTCTCCCCCCCCTCCCCCCAGGTCTTGTCGGGCTGCGCCATCATTGTCCGGGGCCAGCCGCGAGGCGGCCCCCCCCCGGAGCGTCAGATCAATCTCAGTAACATCCGAGCTGGGGCCATGGCCCGCCGAGCCGCCCAGGGCCAGCCCGACAGCAAGGACACCCCCGATGAGGTGAGCGGTCCCGTCGCCATGCGTTTGTTTATGTTTATCTGGGTGTTTGGCAAAGGCAGAGCAAGGTCCCGCTAAGTAGCCCCACTCCACTCACATGATGTTCCAGTTTGGAGGGGGTCTGTGTCTTCAGTGCAGGAGGGAAAATGTGATAATGCCTGATTTCAAATGATGTCAACATGTAAAAATGCTAAAAAAAAATGATGCTTTAAGATGCCGGCGGTAGTATTCATCACAGCCAGATGTTCTGCGCAAAAGAAGAAAGAAAACCTAAATGTTCGAGACTGACATTTCTGATTTACTATTTCTGAAACAAAAGATAATGTTGATTATTGCAGCTGTCAGTCACTCCTAGTTGTCCTCACTGAAAATACGCCTCATTAGCAGTTCTTGGTCAACTTTAGGGGGCATTCATCTAACATTCCTGTCTTTATCGCAGCCGTGGGCCTTCCAAGCCAGAGAGTTCCTGCGGAAGAAGCTAATCGGCAAAGAAGTGTGCTTCACCGTGGAAATCAAGACGGCTTTGGGCAGGGAGTACGGGATGGTCTACCTGGGCAGAGGTGAGCATTTAAAACCTCCCACCTGTAAAAACTGATTTATTTAAATTTTTATTTGAACATCCACGCTCCTGATCACCAGCCGCTCCAACTAAACACAACCGACCATGACTGACTACTGTGTAAATGTAACCGCGTAGCTCCTGGGCTAAAAAGTTCTTACATTGTTTTTCTCCTTTCAGACACGACGGGCGAGAACCTTGCTGACACGTTGGTGACGGAGGGCCTGGCCACCGTCCGCAGGGAAGGAATCAGGGGGAACAAGTACGATCTTTCGCTCCACGCCAGCTGTAGCTGTTTTTCTTTGTTTGTCGACATGACTGGTTTCTATGCCAGCGCGACGCTTTGGATAAGCACGGAAAGGGTTAAACCCCGTTTTGAAACTGCCACTTATGCCTCTGAAGGTCCCGTTGGCCTTTCCGTCCGTCACTCCGCTTTTGGTGGGATACGTGTAGGTTCCATCTGTTGTGCGCAACGGTTTTTAATCCACTTTAGCAACGCAACATGTGACCGTAATACTTGCCTCTCTGGGATTTACAAATGATTACATATGAGCTTCTTTGGCACGTCTTTTGTTCCCCGTGATCCTGTTGGCCTGGCTGACCTAAAGGATGTCGCCATACAAGAGACTGATGCTATAAGTGATTACGTCAAAGACACACACACACTCACAACCGGTGAGAAGTAAATATTTTTGGCACACAATGCTCTTGGCTGAGCAGCACAACACTTTTAAATCCGCGAGGAGCTCCACACAAGTCCTCCGCCAGTGGGCCGTAGAGAATTGAGACGGATCCGTGGTGTCCCAGATGGTGGCAGTGTTGCACCCGCTGCAGCAGCGACGTCCCTCAGGAACCCGCTTCTGCCACATTGCCCTCACACAGTAAACCCCCGCCCCCCCACCCCCTTCCTACAGATAAAGTTGCACAACCAGCGCTGTCTGACAAAGTACTGTACATCCCCCCCAGTGGCAGTATTTGCACATTACACCCATTAAAAGCAATTTGACTCGTGCTGCTACATTCATATCTTCCGGCATTACGAGCGCTGATGTGACTATTTGGCCGCTAACGACGCGTTGCGAGCATTCGGTGTGCAATGGCCCCAAACGAGCGCTAATGTAAACGGTGCTTTAAGTGTAGGCAGACATCATTTGGCCAAAGGGGAGGCCCATTACTCAGTGAGGACTTAAGGCCTTTGTTGTTCCCCTCAGTGCCCTGGCCTCCAATATCATTACCCCCCCGTCTCCCCCTCTCGTGACCGGCCACGTTGATCGCACTAACAAGGAGGGGATTGTAATTACGGGACGGCGGGTTATTATAACGATGATGGCTTCGGCCGCCGCAGACTGACGTTTTCAGGAGCTCACTTTGGCCGATTCAGATTGGAGGGACAGGACGAGTGCTGAGCAGCACACACACACACACACACACACACATACACACACCAGACGATGCACACATTTCTGTCCCTTAATGCAGTTAACACTAGAATATGTTTCAATAATCAAACAATGATCTATTTTTCACACGATGAATTGCTTTGTAAGTCATTTTGAGCCAATGAAATCCCCTTGAATCGTTACATTGGACCAGAGGATTCATTCCGAGTAGCTTCGCTGCACAAGCGACCTTTGGGAGAACTGGATTTTCCTCGCTGTTCACTGAACGTCACAGAACCGTGTTAGATTTCTCCGGCAGAACTCTTCTCCGCACCCAATCAGCGCCGCGTGGTTTCCCCTCCATTCATTAGTTACACCGTGGGGAGCTTTCCTCCCTGCAAGGTCATAATCCGGACCGCTCCAAGGACTTTGATACTGTTGATGTTTTCCATCGTGAACCGTGTTGAAATATCCTCTCGTCAATCTTAAAGTTAAACATTTCAGAATTCTGGGGATTTCCATAAATATAAATAAAATATGCTGTATGTCCGGTGCACTGACGTGTCAGGAGCCAGAGAATGGGTCAGAATCCTCGGCCACGCCCACAGCCAGAGGTTTACTGAACGGCCCCGCCCGTCAGAGCAGGAGGGCCGCCACGTCACCATGGCGATCGACTCAACGCTTCCTAATCCTCCCGTTGCTCCTTGTCGTCTTTTAACCGGAGCCCCACCGGAGTGCTAGTTGTCAGGCGTAAACGCCCGAGGGGAATGAACTTTACCCCCCCCCCCTCCCCCCTCCCACTCCCTGCGGTCACGCACACGATGGAACAAGATTCCACGCCATCTCCGAATTGTAAGACAACAGCAAACTGAAGTTCAACATTTCTTTTTAAAGTATTTTTGGTTGTGCAAGGCAGCCACACAGAGATGAAAGACGCAGCCTCCAGTGTGTTGAAATAGAAGAATATACAAGTGTTTCTCTTTCTTGGCCGTTCCTCCTCCAGTAGCCTTCCTCGGTATTGTTGCACCTTCTTACCCATCGATGTCGGCGTGTTGGTTTCAAGCAACGCGTCTGTGCGAAGGCGTCACTGACCTGGAGAAAAGAAATCGCCGCGCTTTTGGAAGACGTGGATAAGTCCTCTATCGCCTGCCTCCACACACACAGGGATTTCTATTTATCTCGCTCTGCGTTCGCTCTTCTGGTGGCGTTACAATGTCAGCGTTCCTTGATTCCATCGTCGGGTTTCTCCTCTCGCTCTCCGTTCCCGTTCAGTTGCCTCAATGCTAAGTAGCTTAAACGCAATCGACTCCCCGCAGAAAAGTTCCACTCTTGCTGCCCTGTAAGCAAGAAGCCGCTTCGATTTAAATCTGGTGCTGTTTTTCCAAATCAGCGTAGAGGGCGAGGGGACCTCAGCGCCGGCTTTTCCGGCGCGGGTCCAAAAGTCAAAGTGGGAACACGGCAGCTGGAGAAAAGGACATGCGTGTGCGGTACAGATTGCAGAGGCTGATTTGTGATTTTGGGCCGTAGAAAACATTTAGTATTGATTTGTGCGCGTCGCGTTTTAATGGAGAGACACTTTGTTGCCTCTCTGAAGCAAACTCTGTCTTTAGGCAGCAAGATGTAAAAAAAACAAATAAAAGTCACCGTCGCCGCTCAATCAGGCGCCCTTTGATTCTAAACAGAAGCCTGTTGGCCATTTGAAGTAATGAATATAATTAAAGTTGTACAATGGCACTAAAAAAAAAAGCATTAGGCTGCACAATTTAGGGAGCCGGCATGGAATTAATTGTGGCGTTTGTAGCCAGCTGCGTGGAGGCTTCTGAAGGAGCCGTCAAACACTGTTATTGTCTCTTCACAGAATCCTCGGGTACATTTTTTTGTTTTTTTTCTTAAACAGCAGAGCGGTATGTCAAGACGTGCCGCCCTAAGCTTTGAACGTGTACACAACTAATGTTTACTTGCATACAACAGCAGCAGCAGCAGCAGTAACCCTGAGCCCGTCGCGATGGAGCTTCTGAGACCTTTTGCATCCGCTGCGAGCATCGTAGTTCTTGTGATGCCGAAACCGCATCGAAGCAGCAGCCATACACGAGTTCATTTAAGACGCTGCCCTACTTGCAAGTCGCTGTGATCCGGGAGATTGTCAATGAAGTTAGAAAAAAACATGTACGGCAAACCCATGGTGACGAAGATGCTCGTTTAACATTGCTTGGTATTAGCATGTCGCTAAATACCCAACTGAGATCTGCTCATGCCGCTGTGAAAAAGGAACCTGCCATCGGCACCTGCCGTTCTGACAAAGGAACCTTCCAACGACCACTTTTGCACTCGGCGTCACTCCAAAGATGGGGCGAATATTTGTTCCATATTTACTACTACTTTTACATGCTTCGTCAAAACAATCTCACTTTTACTCGCTACACCATCGTATCCCTTTAACAGCTGCACAGTCTGTGTTTTTCGCTTTTTATTGTGTCTTAAACTCTGCCTGTGTGTGTGTGTGTGTGTGTGTGATCAGTCCAGACCAGGCCAGACTCTGTGATGTGGAGGACCAGGCTAAAGCCTCCAAGAAGGGCTTGTGGAGTGAAGGCGGCGGCGCGCACACCATCCGCGACCTCAAGTACACCATAGAGAATCCACGCAACTTCGTTGACTCCTTGCACCAGAAACCTATCAACGGTAATGGTTTGTTTTCTTCTTCGGGGGGCAGCTTGCAAACATCCACACCGAGGACAAAAACAAAATCTTCCATGTTTTTTTTCTGGGGTTTGATTGAAGGTGTTTTGTTTCTTAATTAATGCCGGCTTCAGGGCGTTTAACAACACGGGCTTTATCGCCCCTCGCCGGCTCGTTCTCTCCAGTCTCTCGTCCCGCACCCTACCGGAGTCGTAATGTGCCCCTCCATTCATTTCCAGGTGACTGCCCTTTAACAGCGGCTCAGCTCATTTCACCACGCTTTAATTGAATGGGGAAATGAAGAAATGCTCGTTCCTCGTTCTTACTACTCACGAGAGGCTGTCTGTGTTGCTTTTATATTAGGCTGAAGCTTCAAATTGCTGTGGTTGGGGAAAAAACACAAAAAAAACACTGAGTACCACCGTTTGTCTCATGTGCTGAGGCAGACGCACAATAAGCACACACGTCATACACAGAAAGCTGGTGCGTGGAGATTTGAGAGAACCCATCACCAAAACAGTATTTATTCACATCCTGTAGAATTTCTTAAACCACAGAGGTCGACAGCAGCAGCAGCAGCCGAGTGATGTGGTCTGTGGGGAAAATAAATACACGTGACTCCTCAAAAGCTGTCCCATTGAAGTTGTGATATCTTGCACATATATGCGAGTTTCATCCGGGCCGACCGCGGAGCTGTTTTTATGGGCCGGCTCACATGAAAGTATCACACATGGGGTTTCTCCCTGGATGCCGAACTGATTCAGCCCTCTCTACATTTTTCAGTGTGAAAGTAGAAAATTAAAATGTATGCTTTCTTTCTTTTTTTCTTTGGTAGTAATATAGCACCGCTAAAAATAATCCCATATTTAACCAGTGAATATCGTTTCAGTTCTTGTTTTGCAGATCCCTGACGCCATTTTTTTCCTCTGCGAATGTTCTTTCCGGCTCGTAATACTCACAGGCTTTGCGTTCTCCTCCCTCCCTGCAGCCATCATCGAGCACGTGCGAGACGGCAGCGTTGTTCGTGCCTTGCTGCTCCCCGACCACTACCTGGTCACTGTCATGCTTTCTGGAGTCAAGGTAATTGCCGCCTGCTCGCTCGCTCGCTGCCTTTACCGATGTGCTGGAGTGTAACCATGGAGCCGATTTAACCAGCTACCTTCACAGCGCCAGTGAGGAGCTTAATAAATAGCAAACGGCATCAGATGGCTCTCCAGATGTAGATGAAGGAGGACCAGTAAACCTCCCCATCAGTCTCTTTTATAAAGCTCAGATTTGCCATCCAGCCGTAACAATTGCTTTGTTTTCTTCACATAAAGATGGAGCGTTCTTTGTCTTATCGTTCTAAAGCTCGTCTGCTCGTGGCTCCTGATGCGTTTTTATCTCTCTGGTGTTTCGCCACGCTCAAAGGAAAATACGGGACGCATGTGCAGCAAGGTGAAATCGGTTAAAAGTGGATAACAGGATAATAACAAAAAAAGTGGATGTCATCAAAAGACACAGAACCTTCTAGAGGCGCTGGTTGACTGCTGGAAATCTCCGTAGACTCCACGCGTGCCGCTCGGACCCGTTTGAACACGTTTCCCACCGTATTGAGGCTATTTACTTCATCATTATTCTGTCGCCCCCCCCCCCCCCCCCCCTCCCTCCTTTCTCGCCAGTGCCCCACGTTCAAGCGGGAAGCCGACGGCACGGAGTACCCGGAGCAGTTCGCGGCCGAGGCCAAATTCTTCACAGAGTCCCGTCTGCTGCAAAGGGACGTTCAGATCATCCTGGAGAGCTGCCCCAACCAGATCATCCTGGGCACCATCCTTCACCCGGTGAGGAGAGAAACACAACCGCGAATCCCGTCCGCCTCCTTGACTGCCTCAGTCTCATCTTTTTTATTTTTTATTTTTTTGCTCGCCGTCCTCAGAACGGCAACATAACAGAGCTCCTGCTGAAGGAAGGCTTCGCCCGCTGCGTGGACTGGTCCATGGCCGTCTACACCCAGGGGGCGGAGAAGCTCCGAGCCGCCGAACGGTACGCAAGCAGACGCCGGGCGCTTCAGCCGGACGTGAAACTTACTAGGAGCTGCGCAGGGAAAAAGTCGTGTGTTTAATGGTCTCATCCGTGCACTTCAAGAAGCGCTTTATTCAACGGTGGTGAATTATTAAATTCTGCGAAAAGAGAAGAGTGGACGTGTAGAATGTAATTGGTTGTGGGGAAAGCAGTGAGTGGATAAAAGACGAAATAAATTGAGGATGTGAAGAGTCTTGGGGTAATACAATAATTATTTATATGGAATGTTATGCATACGAATGCTTGTCATGAACGAGGCCGCTCTTCCTGCCCACAATCCATCATGGCTGCAGTAACTGTGGCTTAAGCATCTTTGGGGTTTTTTGCAGCGTAATGGGCTTTTTTCTCCAGCCAAACGGATCATTGTTATCCACTCGACTGCCCTGCGTGTCTCTGGCTGATGTCGAGGACGACCACTGATGGTCATGTGACCTTGTTCTTGTACAGATCCGCCAAAGAGCGAAAGATCCGCATCTGGAAGGACTACGTGGCCCCCACAGCCAACTTGGACCTGAAGGACAGGCAATTCGTAGCCAAGGTGAGGCCCCGATGCCGCTTTTATCTTGTGTGTGTCTCTGTCTAATTGGCACTTTTTCTTTGGCCCCTAACATAATGATTTTCAATTTGGATTGTCCTGCTTTTCCATTGAAAAGGCCCCCCTTATCTTTTGGACCCCAGAGAGAAAGCAGCAGCGAGGTACACGGCTGTCAGCGTGACGCACAGACATTACCCAGCAGCAGCGGGCCTTTGCCTCCGAGCCCCCCCGCTTCCCCTCACCGCCGCGCCGCGCCTAGTTTTCCCCCAGTACCGCTTCGGTGCTCCTAACAAAATAAAAAAGAAATACCTCTTACTTTCACATTTGTGCCCCCCACCCCACTGCATAAAAAGATAATAAAACAAAACAAAGAATCCTTCACTTAAGGCGCCGGGGAAGGATGCTTAACGGCTTCCTCTTAAGCGCTCCCCAGTCAAATCAGGGCCAAATGGCCGGGCGTCTGCTACCGCAGAGCCCCCCCCCCCCACCACCAACCCCCACTACCCAGCGGACCTCGAAAGCCGGGAGCGAGAGATCTCGGCTGAGGAGGTTATTGGCCCGGGTCCTCGGGAGAGAACGAGTGTCCTTAGTATTAAGCACACACGAGTGCGCTCTCTCCTAGTTCCTTCCAATCACATACTGACTTATTGGGGGTGTCCGAGCTTTAACGTGGCAAAGCTGCTCTGGGTCTGAAAACATCAGCGTTAAATCCGTCCCCCACTGTGTGCATCTATAATGATGACACGTGCACGCCACCCTTCGATGTATATATATTTTTTTTCTCTAGGAATGAACAAACTGACTTTAATGCCCCCGTCCTCCCCACAGAGTTTGGCTTTTGTCCGTGTTTCCTCCCTGTGCTGACCCTGAACTTTTAAGACCCTGAAAAATTCATGGCTAGCCTGAGGGTTACATAAAAGGTATTGCTTTGGAAATCTGCTTACGGGATGAGTTTGATAAACTGCACACACCATAAGGAAGGCGCAAAAAAGAAGAGGGAGAAAAGAAGCCCATGCGTATGAATATATTTTTTCCTGAGTCAGAAGGATGAGGCTCGGGAAAGGATAAAACATCTATATTATCAGTGTGAGCTGCTCTCAGATCCCTCTGAACGCCCCCCCCCCCCCAAATGAAAGATGCCTGTGTGCGGGCAGTGGGGGTAATTTTGCAGGGAAGTCTGCTGCGTGTTTGAAAGAGGCTAAAAGCAAGTTCAGCGAGAAATGGGAACTTTTTAAAATGTTTAATTATTGGTGGCCTGCCTCTGGTGTCCTTGTGGTAACTGCTGATGCCCCTCCACCTTTTTTCTAGAGATGAGTACATATTGGACAGGCTACCCCCCCGCCCCCACCTCCTAATGCCGGTTCCCCCGTGCTATTTGTCGGCACCTAATACCAAGGTGCACCCGACTCTCCCAGGGACACACACATCCATCCATCCATCAATCCCATCATCATGCACTCCGCTCTCCTCGTCCACTCCACTCTCACTTCTTGTTATGTGAGTGACGGATAGAGTGGAGAGGCTGAGCGGGTCCAATTCCCACAAGTCAATCCTGCTGACGAATCTTCCCCCTTTTTCTTTTTTTGTTTTTGGACTCTGTCTCTGTCTGTCTGCTGGGACCGGCACAGCGGATGTAGGCCATGCCCCAGTAGGCTTCCTCTCTCCTCATCTCCTCTCCCGGGTAACCATCAACCTGAGAGGTGATGGATAAAAGGTGATGGGGTGTAAACCCCCCCTGTACCAGCCCCTTATCTAGCTTGTCACTGTCGCTTTAGGACGACCACATCGATAACGATTTGTGACGCCTGAGGATCGTATGATGAGAAATAACAGCTTGTAAAATGGTACAAAAATAGTCAACATTTAAAAGGCTGAGCTTTGATAACACAGATTTGTATAATAATCCTAGAAATGCAGTTTCTGGCCTGTGTTGGGAGTAAGAGGTGCGCCGGTGCCTCACAGCAATGCAAGGAGAGCGAATAGCAGACTTCAACAATGGTTAAAAGGGAAAGCGATGACACGCGCGGCCACGCTGTCTGCACCACTTAAGAGTCGCCGCACAGAATGCTTACAAGGTCCGACGGCTTCTTCAACAAATTAAAAAGTCTCACAAAGGCCATATTGGCTTGTGCCCCAGTTAAAAATCGGCCGAGCGATTTAGAAAAGTCTCTGGAGACTATCGGCACCTGTCCCCCCCGGACAGTGTCCTTCGCAGAGAATCACCCTGTGGTCGGCGCTCCGTCCCCCGGTCTCCGGTTTATTTGAAATGGATCCGGCCAAGAATCCTCCCACGTCGCCGTGACCGATCTTCGGCCACTGCAGATGTCGTGTCAGCCGCGGGCAGAAGGTGGCAGTAGATCCCTACTCTGGGGGGTCTGTGGGAGGGGGGGGGCAGACCCAGTGAGTCACGCTGCCCGCCTATTTGTCTCCTCGGCCGGCTCACTCGACCCTCGTGGCAGCTACTTTTGCAAAGACTTTTTTCCCCCTTTCTCTCCTCCATCTTTTCCTTCCGCCTCTGTTCTTGTGATATTTGCTGAGAGATTACACCCCCACCCCCATCTCTCTTTTGCTCCATCTTTCTGTCCCTCTATCTCGGGCCGCGTCTCGCCTCCTCCGGCTGATAATTAGCCGCTAAATGCCGAGCCGCTTTCTTCTGCTCCTACCACATTCTCTCTCTCGCTCTCTCTGTCACTATTTATATGGGCAGGCCACGAAAATGACCTTGTTACGGCGCGAATGTGTGTAAGCCGCGTGCACGTATGTAACGACGCCGTGCACACGCATGCTCGCACTTGCTCTTGGCGGCCCCTCCCGTCCTGGCCCCCCTCTCTCTCTCTCTCCCACTCAGCTCGCCGGTTAGTATGTGATGTATTTCGGCCGCTGTGGCGGACGGCCTGTTTAGCACGCCGGGGCCGGTCTAATTTATTTTCTCTGGTGACAAATGCGACGGCAGTCTGACTCGCTTTCACTTGACTAATGAATCTCCCAAACAGCCTTTAATACACCTGGATTTGTGACTCCCAGTACACCCCCCAAAAAAAAGATTCAACCTTATCTCGAACTCTGAAGGGATCTTTCTGGTTATCTTGTTTTTGCACACACAGTCTAGATTGTTCATCTCTCCGTTTGGGGGCCTGAGCCACCGCCTACGTCTCGGCCACAGTGTGAGGGATGACTGCGCCCGTGTGGGTGGCCACCCGTGCGGGGAGATTGATTTCCCCGGCCTGTCGGCAGCGGCCTGCTTAAAAGGCCTCGGGGTCGTCGGGGAGCCTCGTCCGTCTCCGCCGCGTTGCCCCCTCCCTCCTCCGCCCGCTTTACGAGGGTGCGGCGGCACACGCAGAAGCTCGGGTCGAGTTCCCGACTGCAGGCTCGCACAGGTGTAGCTTTGAATACCCCCCCCCCCCCTCCCTATAAATTGAGGCGGCTGCCTCTTGGTGCGGAGGGAACTAACATCTAAATGCCAAACATAAATTAGTCGGTGTCTTTAGTTGCACTCGTAAAGGTCTTCGGAATGAAGTGCCGCCAGCCGTTTGTCGGCCAGAGGGCGGCGTGATGCTCCGCCGGTCTGTCTTTAACGGGATGTTTGTGTGTTTTTTAAAGTACTGTCTCCCCCGATACCCCCCCCCCCCCCCCCCCAGACGGATAAACGTCCTCGCTCTGTCCTCCAAAAACCTCGTGCCGGCCGCCACGCCCGAGCTCGCCTGTCGCCTGTTTACTGGAGTCCCTCTTTCTCACCTGGCTCCCGGTGACGGCGCTCGATCGGCACTGTCACTCTCCCTCCGCCCCCGAATAGATCTCTTCCCCTCCATTTATCCTTCCCCTCATCCTTCACTTCCCATCTCGCTTCCAGTCGATCTGCTCGCTCACTCGCCAAAAAGCCAAATGCAACGCCAGTCTTTTTATTTATTTTTTCCTCCACTACTCTCGTCCATCTTGCAGCGGTGGGATTTGTTGTCCCCTTTTCAGATGAATTCATGTTTGTACGTTTACGTTTATTCTTTATTCCCTCCGTCCCCCCCAGGTGATGCAGGTGGTCAACGCCGACGCCGTGGTGGGAAAGCTCAACTCTGGAGAACTCAAGACCATCCACCTGTCCAGCATCCGGCCCCCTAGGATCGAGGGAGAGGTGAGACCCCCCCCCCGCCCCCCCTCAATGTCCCATCAAGTTCACCGTGCTCCTCGTGCACGCGTGCGCTGTATGCGCGTTACACGTGATGGGACATTAACAGTATTTAATAAAATAAAATATGGCATCCGCTCTGATTGTCCTGCTACGCTGATCTGACACCGCGAGCGGCTCCTCTTGCACGAGCGAGGGACTGAACGTTTTCTTTTCATCCACAGTTGCGTATTTACACACACACACACACACTTCTGAATATTGATCCATCTCCCTGCGCTTCTTTCCTGACACGTCTTTGCTCTCCTTTCCTCTCTCTAAATAAATGACCGTGGGAATACCTTTGACCACTTGGTGGCGCTCCCGCAGTTGGGGCACATGCAAAAAACAGTGAGAAACTCAGTGGGTGCAGAGAGTGAGGCACATCGATTTTTCTTTTTTTCCCCTCAACATCCCCCCGTCCCCCTCCAACCCACTTCAGAATCACTTCAAGGAGTAAAGTGAGAACGTACACGAATGCATACTTACACCCACATACCTCGTCGCAGTGGTATATTTATCCAGGTGCTTGTATGCCGTCCCCAGAGTATCATGAGCCCCCCCAGCTGTGATTAGCTGTGATTATCCCCCCCCCCATTTTTGCCACCGCAGCAGTGATTCTTCATATCAGAGTTTCATATTTAGCACAAACCCCGTTTTGCTCTCTCGCTCTGTTCGACGTGTCGGAGGCTGTTTGACAAACATTCTGTAAGTCCACGACCACAGCGGGAGGGGGTCCAGGAAGCAGTTGAAGTGTACTGTCTGGACGTCTGCTTTTTCGGTCTACATTATGTGGGTTTTTATTGACCCCCCCCTCTCGTGCTTGTTTTATCATCTTTACATCTGTCCCACTTTACTGGTCTACATTTCATCCCCCCCTTTTGCAGATTCTTTCTCTCTCCCCGGCTACTGTTCCTGTTTGACTCTACTTTCCTTTCACTCCTCCATGTATATTTTCCAGGTTAATGTCTTCTCTCTCTCTCTCTGCCGATGCCAGATGTGTGTGTTCCGTGCTTCATTACACAGTTGTAAGTCACAGGGAGCCCAGATGTTGGTGTTGTATCACTATTTCTCGCACGTTGTGCACATTTAATTGCTCCTGCGTGGCTGCGTGTGTCATTTCTCCTGTAAATAACGTGCAAATTGAAGTCTGTCCGGATACCAGCCCACTGGGCTAGTAGACTGAAACGTTTCTATTGTTCATAATCTTGAACGTTGCATCTGTGACCCCTCGTCCGGGGGGGTAGTCATGCATAAACGCTGTTATTGCTTGTTTTAGTTTGATGATGGTTTGTTAGCTAGTTATTTCTGTCCGAGCTAAAGCGAGTCCGTCGGCTCGGCGCCGAGTGTCGTCGCCATGGCAGCAGCGCAGAGTTGTGAGAGACGCACTGAGGACACGACGGGCCCTCGGACTCCCGAGGTAGAATAGAGCCGACCGACTGCTAAACGTCTGTGCTCACTGTCTCGGTCGAGGCACAGTAGGAATAAATATTGAAGATTTAAGAACCTGATGCAGAGCCGTTAAAGCCCCCCCACGGGACTGAGAGTTCCGACGTCTTCTCCCATTTGCCACCTCATTAGGAAGTTGAGCTGTTCCTTACCGCGTGCAGGGGAACTTCATTTCATGCCCTGTCTGCCCTCCTTCACAGATGCAGATTTTTTTTATTCACTGTCATTTTAGAAACGTTGTTAAATCTTTCTTTGTTGCTATATATATATATATGAGAATCTCATGTAAATATTTTAAGAATGCCCAAGTGGTTCACCCTACAAGATGGTCGCGATATTGATTATTTGTTCAAATATATTCTGTTTATTTGATTTCCCTTTGAACGGCCTTGCTTTTTAACTGGTGTTCCCCCTTCGTAAACGACAAACGCTCGCCAGATGTGACCAACAGCTGTTGGTGGTGGGATTTATCCCCCTCTCTCGGGTAGAAATATAAATCCTGTAGGCGACCTCAGAGGTCACAGCAGGTATCGCTCAGCCTCAAACCCCCCCCCCCCGAACGTCATCCCTTCCTGCTCCGAATGTGGCGGGCGGACAGAAAGACGGCGTCCCGGTTTGCGGCGCAGACGCACAGTGACACGCTTCGTTCGGCTACATTAGTCTTAGTCGGGAAAGGTCTGTCAGCAGCATGTGCACAAACATGGGTTGTAGACGCACACGCGTGGGTGTATATATATATATATATAGAGCCTCTCAAAGTATGTGCATGCTAACACTGCACAAGAACAGGGACATCTCCAGAGAAAAACCAACTCGTGTGTGTGTTTCATTCTCTCGAGGTCTGTGGGGATTTTCTGGTGCCAGTTGTCATTATTATCCCTGTCCGTCTGGATTCGTGTTTGTGCACTGTGTTTGACCGTGCATTTCTGCAAGCAACGCCGTTTGCGCGCGTGTCCGAGGGTGCGCGTGCGTGTTTGCGTGTCCGTGCGTCCGTGGGTGTGTTTACTGTTCAAGGGGAACCAAGGCCAGACGCGACGTAACCAGTGGACTGATGAACTGTGACCGCTACTGCCATCCACATCTCCTCTGGTTCCCATTAGCGGCCTAACGCCCCGCCACCCCCCCTTCACACACACAAACACGCACACGCACACTCCCACCCCCAACGCTCCTCCACCCCTCTCGTGACCAGACTAATTGCACTCCAGACTGACTGGAGCGGTGGACCGATGGTGTCGGACCGCAGCGAAGGCATCGGGCACAAACCCCCTCGCTAGCGCTCCCTCTCGTTTGGCTCCTCCCCAGCGGTCCTGCTGTGGCGTCTCTTCAGATGGGAGTTATTTTCAGCTCAGGAGTTGAAGTCAGCTTCCTCCTCCGCCTCCTTTCCTCTTCTCCCCTTAGTTACTTTTTTCTCGGTTCCTCCATCTTTTTTTTTTTTAGACGACGTCGCGCCCGCGTGCTGACTGAGCCCATAGGGATGGAGGTGTGGCTCAATCTCCCCCGCCTCCTCCCATAAACCACCTGTCTACCCCCCCCTCCCTGCGCCCTCTTTACTTCTGTCTCCTTCGTTCTTTTACCCTCCCATTACTGGGTTTATTTTTGTACCGCAGCGCCGCTCTCTTATTAGCATCTCTCTGAAAACTTTTCAGACCTGCCGTATTTAGAGTTTGACAATTTGCAGGGCTTCACAAGCACGAGGGGCGCCGCGCACGCCCTTTGTAGTTGCGCCGCCGCTGTTTGAACCCTTGTCATAGAGTGCTTGTTTTTGTTGACTTATTCATTGGGTTTTGGCGGCTACAGTCGCGGGTCGAGACACGGGAGGTCAAAGAGATGCGGCAGGATGCAGGAAATGAAGGGAACATGTTGCAGAGCTGTCACAGCTCCTGTGGTAATTATCTACTTGTAGGGTCGCCCGGCACGCTCAAACGCCATGGGAACCGTAGCTGTAGCGTTACAGCTGTACAATAAGATAATATCTGATCAGCCCACATTTATAATGCAAAAAAAAGTTTGCACAGCTTAAGAAAATGTCTTTGTGAGCGGAATCGAGAGGCGGCGTTCTCGTGGTAGCCAGCATTTAAGCAGACGGACCCTCGCTCGTCTCCTCCCTCCCTCTTCTGTCTCGCCATATGTGTGCGTTCCCATGGCCCCGCCTCCCGCCCGGCGTCGCGTGCTTTGACCTCGAGTTTTGGGAGGAAGGAGGTTTGCCCACTTAGTGATTCGTTCCTGCACTCTTGGCGAGGCGAGGCAAGTTGGTGGCCAGTGTCCCTCTTCAGCACTGTGGGTTTTTTATTTATTATTTTGGCCGACACTGCTGAAAAGGCAAAGCACTTGGCCCGCGCTTGAGTCGGTGAAAGGGGAGGAAGTCGCAGAGGCGTTGGAGGATAATGCGGCTGCTCCTTCTGAGGAATGCGGCGTTGTTGCCACCTCAGATCATTTCAGGACTCGATGTGTTTTAATATTTATAAATGGGGGGGGGGGGGGCTGCTCTCAATAGCTGAAGCTATATTCTGCAACAATGGATTTAAAAAAAATATTTCGCAGGTCCTGCAGTGCACGTTGTCTGCTCCCAAAAATGTCCGACTCATCACTCCACGTATTGAATAGCGCGGCCGCGTGACGTCCTTGTTCACGACGGGCCAATCAGAGCGCCAGAGCGCCTGTGGGCCCGTCACCGCTCTCCCCGGTAAATGAACCCGTCGGCGGTCCGCCAGCAGCTCATTGCGCGTTGAGTGGCTGCTCGTTGCCTTGACGCTACAGGTGATGCCCCCTCCTCTCCTGGCCCATGGCGGCATCTGGTTTAACCGCTCATTTGTATTCTGGCGTATGAGCCCCTGTGAACGTGAGGTCATTACATCTCTTCCTCAATTGGTTAACCTGGAAAAAGTGACATGACCTACTACTGTACACCTCCCCCCCCCCCCCCCCCCCCCCCGTAAACTCCACCGACACGCATCACAAAAGCGTGACGTGCTCCCGAGTCACCATTTCACCCTTGAAGGTCCCGAAGCCGCGACATTGCTCGCGGGCGCCGCGGCGTCCACACATCTGCGGCGCGGCCCCCGCAGCGCTGCCACACTGTACCATCCAGCTAGCGTCATGCCCCCGCTGTAGTCAAAGGCCATTCCCGAGCTTTAGCTGGTAATTTGGAACGAAGGGAATTTACCCCAAATAGAACAGAAGCCCCCCCGAGGATGCGGAGAGCAAACTGTTGTTACTGGGTCACGGCTGAGACATGGCGGTGTCTCTCTCTCTCTCTCTCTCTCCCCCCCCCCCTCTCCCTGTAACCTTCATGCGACTGCATAATAGCGATGTGAGGGCGCGGCGCAGTTGGTCTCGTTTGAGTCATTTGAGGAGGCAAAATGTCCTTCGTTTACTCTGGAATGTTGTATGTGTGTGTTTTTGATATTAAGCTCTCATCGTTGCTGTTTGAATAGCACTGCAGCCAATGTGGACTCCTTATCGCGGCGGCGGGAATCAATCCGCCGCCATCGATTCCTGCGGCAGCCCGCGCTCCACTTCCACGCGGCTTCTCTTTGTCTCTTGACTCTTTCGCCTCTGGGGGGGGGGGGGGGCTTTGTCTCGTCCTTCGGCTCGGCTCCCTCGCAGACCTTCTGGAAGATGGAGAAGTAGCCTTTGTCCTCCTCGTCTGCTCCTCCGCTCCTCGCGTCTAATTGGCACAGAGTGCTGACATTTCCACTCTTCGCCCTAAGTGACATGGCTCCGTGAAGCGGCTCATTAGTTGAAAATGATCCCCCCGCCCCCTCCTGCTTTTTGTGTTTCCCTCCTTTTAGGTCCTAGTACCTAAAATCCCCCCCCCCCCCCCCCCCCCCCCGTTGACGTTATCCACTTGTTTCCAGTCGGGCCTAGTGGGATGCTAAAGGGCCTCCGTGTTGCCCTTAAGGGGCCTCATGTGATGGCCCTTCTGGATGCAGACTCCATTGTTCAGGGTCCCGGAATCGTCTGACATTTGGGGCAAGCAAAGCCCCCCTCCCCCCGACACTGACTTAGTAGGGATGAGCGACCCTGACTGTAAGCCACGACTGACACAAAATCAAGGACGTCTGCTCTTGGCCGCCGCCATCAGCCCAGCTGATGCCACACCTGGCGGCTGGGACGGACTTGAGAGGCTTTAAGAATGGACGAGCGAGGGAGGAGGGAATGAGGGATTAGTCCCCACCCCGTGTGTTCCTTTCCGCTTGTCTCACGGATAACTATGGCGTTCAAAGAAGGGGGCGGCGAAGGCGAGCACACTGGTATTGTCATTCCTAGCGTTATTCCTCCCGTCAGCGCCTGTTGTTTATTTTCCTGCTGAGTCATTGTCATTTGCTGTATTATGTTTGTATTTCCTTCATCTCGCCCCTACAAAAACTGCGTGTGTCTCAACTCCGGGAACAACAAAAAACCTCAGCCTCCCCTTTTTTCCTTTTTTTTTTTTTTTTTTTTTTTTTTTTTTGAAAATGCAAATATGATCTATTTGTGGCTGCTCCTGTCAGAGAGGGTGGGGGAGCGCATTGAGGGACGCTTTTTCTCTTTTGTGCACGTGGCACACATCTGTGTCAGCTCGCCTTTGTACATCAGTTTAAGTGTATTTGCCTTGGCGGTTTTCATCCGTGTCCTTGGTAACTGTGTACTTTGATTCTTATTTTGTTCCCCTTTGGGAGGGTCGCAGTGGCTCGACGGCGACAGTGTTTGAGGAAGGTGTTCTGTGCGTTTTTGAAGAAAAAAACCCACATTATCGCCAACTTGTTGTTATTTTTGTTGTTGTCCACATTAAAATCTGTCAGTCACAGAAGCAAAGTCGCGGGGGGAAAGAGGACACTGACGTCGGAAAGTGTGCAAATCTGTGTCGCACCGCTTTGAAGAGTCATGTGAATGATCCTTTTCTCCGTCTCCCTCCATCCAGGAGAAGAACAAGGACAAAGACAAGCGCTTCCGTCCGCTCTACGACATCCCCTACATGTTCGAGGCCCGCGAGTTCCTGAGGAAGAAGCTCATTGGTAAAAAGGTACGAAATCAAAGTGTGTGTGTGTGTGTGTTTATACACTGTTAGTCAACTTGATTTGCTTCTAATATGCTTTTGATGGATTAAACAACGGCTCTAAACTGGGATTCCCACATTGGCTGCACACGCGGTTCAACACTCTTATTTGTTACTAGAAAACCATCCCGCTCCGTTTGAATGTCAAGTGCTTCCCGTCGAGGCCCCGGGGGGCTCGGTATTGGGCCCCCCGCTCGCACGCTTTCAAACAAGCGCTTGTTGGTTTCCTCCTCGTGTGCCTATTGATCCGCGGAGTCTTTACACCGAAGAGGGCCCGCTGTGATTTGCACACATCTGACCCGGCGGAGCGCGGCGCCGAGCCGGAGGGCACTCGGGACGCGCGCCACCGCGTCAACAAAACGTCATGAGATGAGCTGTGACTTGAAGACGGTTGTGTGGGAGACGTACAACTTGGGGTGAAATGACCTTGGAACAATGGTTCCAGAAAGTTATCGCTGACTCTTAACAGCCGTCACATCAGAATGTGAGCGATGGTGGAAAAGACACCAATCTTTCTTGCAAAAAAAAAAGCAAATGAAGGGGCAGATTGATGCTGCTATTGTACTGTACCAAGCTTTACTCTTTTATTATTATATATATATATATATATATATATATATAACATTTTTTGTATTTTTTTAGATCTATATATAAGCCTGCTTGTGTAGATGGCTGTTCTATTTGAGGGTGGCACGTAAACTGATAATAAAAATGATTAAAACCCGATGATGTTAAAAGATACACAGATCAATTCTCAGTGTTTTTCTCTCACCAAAAACACCACAAAAACATTGGCCGCACAGCACGATGAACAACACGCACCCACTCAAAGCCCAAAGCTGAGAGTTCTTTTGACATTCAGTGCAGGAGTGGAATTCACGTCCCTGTCCCGGCCTCTCGTCACACTCATTCTAATCATCCTCATTAATGTTTTTTTAATGGTGGAAAAATTCAGCCGTGAGCCGACTTTTAACGGGTGAAGCGAGAATAATGATTCCATCCATTTAAAAAGAAGAAAAAATAGTGTTTGTAGATAATGAGAGTGTGCGATGGGCCCGGGCTGACTATAGCCCCGTCAAGGTGTTAAGATGCTATGCAAAATACGCCATTAGCATGGTGATGAGACGTGTGTGTTTGTGTGCGCTCAGGTTTGTAACACTTGATGTGTGTAATGTACCGTTTTGGGCTCATTTGCACAAGTGACTGCCTGCATTAAAGCACATGCCACGTGTCTGTGTGGTGTGAACATGCATGTTAATAAAGTCATTTTATATATATAGATACATACGCACATGAGAACCCAAACCGGCCTACAGGGCCAATAGCTGTTTGCTCATGCAGCCCAAAGAAAGGGACGTATGCAGATGTAATGAATATTTTAGTAGGTAATAAGCGTGCTGTTTTGGCTCCATACCTGGTTACCTCTAACCATCGGCCGGGGGGGGGATCAGACTTACTTCTCATGCATGCACCCGTACAATAAACGCCGCTGTGTTCTAATCCCTTGCAGGTGATTTTTTTTTATTTTTTTTTTTAAGAAGTGGGTTCGGGTGTGAGTGGAAAGCTCCTCTTCCTGAAGTCCTGAACCCCCCCATCAGCGTATGATATTCTTTCATGAATAATTAGACTGCTGCTTCGTGGTGAAACGCTCGCTGTGGGCGAGCGTGTGTTTGGCCTCGTTGTTTCAGTGCTAATCTGCGCTGCCTCGGCCCACTTGAGTTGTCGAGTCGGATGCAGGTAGGTGCACGAGTGCACAGATGCATGTTGCCCTCCGACGAGGAGAGGAGTTTAGTCGACCCACTTACTGTCATCCTGTCTCCCAACACTAAGCCCTGTAGAGACAGATTGGGAGCAGTAAGCATTAGCAGAGACTCAACGGCCGCTGCTTTTCTTGAGTTTCTGCTCCAAGGAGCTCCTACCTCTTTTTCCTTTCCGGCAGAGGACAAAAGGTTTTACCTTAACAGGAGAAGGAGGGCAATTGAGCCTTGACCTGTTGGATTTAAAAGTGAACACTCGTGTGTGTGTGTGTGTGTGTGTGGTCTGGTTTTACTGTGAAATGCTGCTGATGTGCATTTGTAGGTTCAATATCACCAGGTGCGTCTTTAGCTCGAACACCACCCGGCCGAACACCACCCGGCCGAAGCTAACTGTTCCATCCGGCGGCCACACGGGGGAGATTCCTCCACGACAATGTTCCACTTCAAAGACCAGACGCTGCCAAGTCTCAGAGCGCTCTGCTTTTGGGGAATAACTCCATTTCTTATTCTCCAATGAGCCAAATTGTCCTACGGTGTGTCTGGCTCTTATTTAAAACGTATATCTAATGAGCGCCGTGGTTTGGGGGCCACGCAGCGTCTATATTTGGTAGCTAATGCTATGCATCGGAGGGTGTTGAGTAGAGGGATTCTTGCGATGGTTTTGGTCTTTTTAATGAGGTCCTCGCAGCTTCAGGTGTTGGGGGGGTGAAATGTACTCATCACTGAGGAGACTGTGTCCACAGTACGCATTTCCATTCATCATTTTTTGTTTTTGTGCCCCTCCAAAAGCTAATTATCAGCCGGGGGATGAGAGCGATGTTAACGGTGTTCGTTTTCAGTTTGAGATCAGGGGACATCTATTAGGGCGCCATCATTGAGGGAGTCATTGGATGTCATGTCAAAAGGCTTCTGATCTGAGGCGTCTCACCCCCCCCCCCCACCCACCCACTTAGAAACGGCAGCGATGGCGTGATGACATAATCCCCCCCAAAAAACTCCACTTGGCTGACTTCGGAAGTAGTGCTCCTTGTGCGCCCGGGTCTCTGCCTCAGAAGCAGCTGTAGAAGAAGAAAAGGAGTCCAATGGAAATGTTGCATTAAGCCACTTATCAGGGTTGAGCACATGCGGATAATCCCGCGCGCTCAAAGTGGCTCCTGTTACGCTGCTGCTCATGTCGTACTGTTGGCGCCAGAGCTTTCCCCTCTCGCCAGTGTGCCGGAGTGCCTTAACGCACTGAGAATGCCGCGTGGCAACCGAGTATTGGTGGTGGTGTGTAATGTGGGAGAGTGAGACTTGGTTCGGGGGAAAGCTTCAGGTGTGTTTTCCGGCTCACAAGCAGCTTTTCAACTAACGATCAACCCCCCTCCCCCTCTGTGCCGACGCACCGGGGGGTGGGGGGGGGGGGGGTAAATAGTAGGTGACGCGATCGACTGGTACTTCCTTTCTGAGATCGCAATCGACGTACTGAGCAGCCCTTGCTTAGAGATGTTTTCTATTCAAACCTCCTGTGATCGGCAGATGTTCACTGAGCTGCTGAAACCTCTATGTGCCCCCTCCCACCCCTGCCCATCCGACTTGCCGGGGTCGGCGTCTCTCTGGTGTCCGTGTAATAGGCCTGCCTGCACTGTCGCCGTTTGACTCGCGTCCGCGCTGAGACCATGCTTCCCCCCCCCCCCTTTCCTCCACCCTGCAATCACACCAGGGCGACAGGTCGCTCTGAAACTGCCGATTTTTGTGTTCAAGGTACGGCTGCATCCCGGCCGCCGACTCCTTCTGAGCCGCAAAGCAGGCTTTCCCCGGCATGTGCCTGTGGATATATTTACACACACGCACAGAGAGAAGAGACACGAGTGACTGAAATTGAATTTTCAGGGTGGGTGAATTGGAGTCCGTCCCAAGGGAACTGAACGCACAATGTAGTGTCATTTGGGTTCTGTGTGTGTTGTCCCAAACACCCACAGTGTTTTCATACTGCCCACCCTGGAGAGATGTACAGCGCTTGCTGATGTGATCCACACTGACAGGGGTGACCTTGAGATTTGGGACACACACACAAGTCTGAACACTAATTGATGCTGTAACTGGTTTTGCTTTCGGTTTGTCTCACTACTCTTTGTGTTTTTCAGGTCAATGTGACTGTTGACTACATCAGAGCAGCGACCGGTCCAGGAGAAAGCACCCCGGCCTTCTCGGAACGCACCTGTGCCACAGTCACGATCGGCGGCATGTGAGTTGCGCGTCGTAGCGCACCGACTCGTCTGTTTCGTTGAGCTGAATTATTGAATGGATTTTCTCTCTTGTGAACTATTCTCAAAGAAGGGGAGAAACAAATAAAAGAAGCCCCATTCTGCCTTCAGCGCGGCCACGTTGCTCCGCCCCGAGCTACGTCTGTTGGCTCGGGCTCGGAGATAAACAATTGCAACGTCCCTTTTAAAAAAAAAAAAAAAAGTGGGATCATCCGACGAAGAAAAGGATTTGTTAGCGCTTGTAATCGCACCTTCAGTCACAAAGCAACCTGTTTGTATTTTAATTTCCAGGGCCTCTGTGCAAGCAGTTTTTCACTACTGAGGAAAACTGGCCCCACCTGTTTTTATTTTTATTTTTATATCACCACAGCGATAAATGTTATTAAACTTGGCGGTTTAATTTGAATCGAACCAGTTGGAGGAGCAGTTCCATGCACTCATAGAATAATCGTATAAATATCCATCCTCATCATCAACCGGCTGTCTGGCATTGTCTGGTCAGGACCCGACCTCGCAACCAGCCAATTAAAAACCCCAAATCGGCAAGCTGCTCCTCTCGGCAGACAACAGTTGCCCCCCCCCCCCTCCCCCGCCCCGGAAGCCACGGTCAGCGGGGCAAAATGTTTTCAACCTTGCGCGACCTTGTCATTGTTCTGAACTTGCCGTGTTGCATTATTCCACGAATCCCCCCCCACCTCATGCCCTCCCCCCTTGCTGGTCCCCCGAGAGGGTCGGTGCACTTAGTGAGAGTTAACTTTATGCCCCCCTCCCCTTCCATCCCTCTCTCGTCCCACACTTCCACCAGAACACTGATGTCCGAAGAAGCCACTAAGTGCTGCATTCCACAGAACAATGCTTCTCTCTGTCTGCCCCCCCCCCCCCCCCCCCCCCCATACCCCCGGCACATCTGTAGCATCTGCTTTATCACGTGTCAATTAATCTCTCTTTCCTCCAGTAACATAGCGGAGGCTCTGGTCAGCAAGGGCCTGGCCACGGTCATCAGATACAGACAGGATGATGACCAGCGCTCCTCCCACTACGACGAGCTGCTTGCCGCAGAGGCTCGGTGGGGAAACACACACACACACACACACACACACACACACTCTTTCACGCAAAACCCTTTCACATTGGCTCCTTCCACCCTTCTTTCACCTGAGCCTCCACACTTGACACAACGGGTCGCACTGACGCGTGTTCATTCTCATAACAGCATGCATGCACACACATGCTGCACAAATCTCACACACACACACACATGCTGCACATATCTCACACACACACACACACACACGTGCAGTGCCATCCACAAGTTGCACATGACCGTGGCAATGTTTGCTCTCGGGAAGATGAACAAAAATGTAATATTACCGTGAGGATTTCAAATTTCTTTTTCCTCTAAATTGCTTTTTCCGCATGGTACCAGCGAAAGCAGCTTGCTGATTATTTATTTCTTTACACGGCAGTATTTTCCCCAGGAAAGACCCCATGGGTTTCTACATACTCGTACAAACATACGGTGTACTAACGCATATATACTCATTTTGTGCCGTGTGTGTGTATGTACGTGCTTGTGCTCTCTGCACACGACCCTTTGCGGTGCAGCGGGGAGATTTAGTACGAGCTTTGCTTCTCTGCTATAGATTAAGATCTGCTGGCTGTAGGTGGAGCAGATGAAGCCACAGCCTCCTCTGTACAGAAAAGTAACTCACTCCCCCTTTTGCTCCTGCAGCGCCTCCCCCTCCTCTTCTTTTTCCTTTTGCACCGTTTGTCCTTGTTCTTCCACCGTTTTCAATTGTGTCCTCCTTCGGCCTTGCTCCTTCCGTGTCCTCTTTTCTTCTCCCATTTCTCTCTCTCTCACCTCCCCCGTCTCAGCCTCTTTGTCCCTGGTGGGGTCTTATTTTAAGTTGATGAGAGGTTTCTGTCTATAGCCAAGGTTTTATTTTTAGTTCCCACTGCGCAAGGCCAGCGTCCCCGCAGCCTACCACAACCAACCACCCCCCCCCCTCCTCCCAGCGGTGGCACTATTTCACCCCACAGCCGCGGCCACAGCGGTGCTCTTCATCTCATGACGCCCCTCAAGGCTTTTTGAAGCAGAGATCATCATCATCACTAAAGTCCTAGCTTTGTTTCTGCATTTGCTCGCCTTCCTTCCAGCCTGACTGTAATTTCCTCTTTTCCCCTTTTCATAACTTCAGTCTTCATCTCTGCCTTTTCATCTCAAACCTGCAGATTATCTGGGTGGGAAGGAAAAAATAAAATCCTCCCCCTACGGCTGATGGTGATTCATCTGCGTTTTGTGTTTTGTAGGGCCATCAAGAACGGCAAAGGGCTGCACAGCAAGAAGGAGGTGCCCATCCACCGGGTAGCTGATATTTCTGGGGTACGTGTGTCTTTTTGTAAACCAAGAGTATTCAAAGATCACCAAGGCCCCAAAAGCTACTGACCCCCCTCCCCCAGATACTCACAGCCGGCTTTCTCATCTTAAAGGATCCAAGCTAAAAATAATCAGCAGCATTAATAAAGCCATCAGCAGAGCTCGGCCCGGGCTTGTTTACGTGCGCCCGGGGGCTTGATGGGGACATCGTTTGGCTAATGAAGCCTGATTGGGAAAGCTCACCAAATGAACATCAGCGCGGGGAACCCATCAAACCTCATAGAAAAACGAGTAATGGCCAATCGGCTCACTTTGTTTTTAAACGTGTTTTCTTTTGTTCGCACAACCATTGAAGGTAGTTTTTTTTTTTTTTTTCTTCTCCCCCGATTCTCCCCCTCTGCTCCGATCCGTCTCACTCGTTTTGGTCCTGTTATTAATTCCGCAGAAACTGCTGACACGGTTTATTCCTAAAGGGACATTTCACACGGGCTTCCATTCCCGCGCGGCCCTACGCCGCCACAGTGCACCCGAGCGCCGTCATTAAGTCGCTGCTCGCCGCAGAGTCGTCGCTGTCCAGATTTGTCAAGCCGAGCGTCCGGCCGAGACGAGCAGAGCGGCGGAAAGTGTCCCGATGGCGCTGGCACGGACATTGAATGCGTTTAACCGGGTCGTGTTCTTGCCGTCGGCTCATTGCGGCCGTCGTGCTGGAATCACACCACTAAAGAGGTCAGACGTAGCACCTCTTGTAGTATTTTATGTTGTCAATCTACGCTTTCAAAAGCGGCACAAGTACAAGTCTCGCCTGTTAGTACTGACCGCAAGGTTTTAAAAAAAAAAAATTTAATCTCACAACTGGAAATGCTATTAAAACCTCAAAAGCTGTTAAATTCTTTTATCCGGAATCGTTCAAGTGCCCTTTGTGTCGCTCTGTGCTCGACCACCCATCTCCTTATACGTTTTGATAAACCACTACATGGTCTGCCGTGAATGACTCCGAATTGAACTTCAGGAACATTAGCATCCCATTGTCTCTCTCACTCCAGCGCTCTCCTGAGTACTTACACTCGTAGGCTCCAGAGAGACATTTGGGGAATTTAATTAAATCAGGCCCTTTTCTCCACTTCTTTCTTTAAATATTTCATTATTTATTCGAGCTCAGAGTTGTTGGTCGCGTACACGTCGCTTGCATTCGAACGGCGGCGCTCAGCCAAGTTATTAAGGGCCAATAAGCGCCGCACAACCGGCCGCGGATGTTACGATCGACGTTGTCATCGCCGCGGCGTCTCCGCGTCTTCTCGTGTCAGCAGGACGGACAAATTGCCGGACCCCGTAAAAGTCATTATGACGGGGAGCTGTTGTGCTGACCGAGCAGCCCTGTGCTTTTCCATCAAGCACGTTTTTTTTTTAAATACGTGACGCTTAACCGGCTAAATTGACCGCTCCGTGTGCAGCATTGGCTTGGGAGTCGTTTCACGGGGTGGGCGGGGAGTGATGGGGGGGGGGGGTTAAGTAATGGATTCACTTTAATAACGTGGAAAAGCAATACGTGCCGCGTCCCGCCTCACTCGTTAAGCGCTGTCCCAGTGACCCTCTCCATGCCGCCGTGGTTGTGCTGTGTCATGCGTACGTGCGCCGTGGAGCCCAAACGGTCCCTTATTAGGCCCCTCCGCCCCCCCGTCGCGGATTTAAGCCCCTGGCATTATTTGCAGCTGCGACTCCTCCCACATCCCACCCCCCTCCTGCGTTGTAGCCTCTCCAATGGGACACGCAAAGGATTTGCAGTCCAGGATTGTTGCCAGCCCGTGTGTGTGTGTATGTGTGTGTGCGCGCTTCCGCGTCGTGCATGTGCATGCACCAGTTGTTTGGCTAGGCTAATGTAAGCATTCTAAAGGACCGAAATAGCACATCCTCCCTCCCTTTTCTCCGGTGTGCTACACGCCCACACACAGCTGTACACGTGCATTCACGCCCCCCCCCCCCCCCCCCCCCCCCCCCTCACAAGGTTTGCTTGTGAGGGATTATGTGCATTGAGTGGGATGCGGTCACAAATAGGTACATAAACATATAGTGTAGAAGAAGACCGGGGGGGGGGTTGGTGGATAGAGCACTTGACTCACCTCGTACCTCTTAAGGTTGCATAACGAGGTCTTCCTCTTCTGCAGGTGCTGAGTGTGTGTGTGTGTGTGTGTGTGTGTGTTGGTTCTGTCCTCTCCCACCCGAGGGGCTATTTTGGACCGAAGTGGGTGGAGTTCAGGTGGTGCATCTCGCGCACTCTTCCGCCTCGCAGCGCCGCGCGTTTGAGTCCCGTCGCTGACGTCCATGCGTGATGTTTTTGTTGCGCTTATTGAGTCTGACTGGTTGTTGTCGAGTAGGCGCCGATCAAATCGTTTGTTTGTAATCGCGCGTATGAATCTGGCTCTGTATCACCAGCCCCCCCTTAAACACGCATGATTTAGCCCCGCTTGTAAATTTGGCGCAGACAAACAACAATACGCTAGTGACTCACCCTTGCAGACAGAGAGGGGGAGGCAGCAGGGGAGGGAATTACTGTGGATCGCGGCGGCTGCGGCTTTGATTAGGCCACGCCGCCATTATTTGGGATTCCCGGTGTCCATTAACCCCAGAGATTCATGTTGTCTTTGAAGTATCTTTTCTTTTTTTTTTTTACAAATCACCCCCCAAAAAAGTCTAATTTCTCTTTCTTTTTGTCGCCCAGGAGACGCAGAAAGCCAAGCAGTTCCTGCCCTTCCTGCAGAGGGCCGGCCGGTCAGAAGCTGTGGTCGAATACGTCTTCAGCGGTTCCCGCCTCAAGCTCTACATGCCCAAAGAAACCTGCCTCATCACCTTCCTCCTCGCCGGTGGGTTGGAGCGCTGTGGTTAGGGGGGGTCCTCTAAGCTGCACACGCCATCTTCACACAAACTAGTGGCTGCAGTTAAAAGAAAAACGCAAACCCGATGAGACTCTTCTGGCTCTCTGCCGTGTTAGAATAATGAATCAGTCGGGTTTTGGGGTATTTTAACCCACCCTCTTATTTCCTCACAAGTCGATTAATCAAAGAAGTAACCAGCTTTTTTTTGGGTGTGAGAAAACAACACGGCGGCGTTATGGAGTACACACGCATTTGTCTCCTCGAGAGTAATAAAACACGAAGAGGGATGATTCCCCCCCCCCCCGCTCCCCCCTCAGATCACGGAAATGGTGACAATACTTACCATTTCCGCGGCACTATTCAGGCGCAATAAAAATCCGTGTCCACCCGTCTTCATTTCAGCACGCGTTTCTGACAACCGCTCGGGTTTAATTAAAGCGCGGCGGGATCGTCGGTGCGTCGGTAAATGTTGTAATTTACTTCGGATGTTCTTTGTGATCCTCTGATGGTTCTCCTAATTCCATTTGTTGGGTTTAGCTTACCACTAGTTTTTTATATCAAAGTGACCCCTGCTAATAACCCAGGACCCGGTGAGATTATTAATAGTGGACGGGGGGGGGGGGGGGTGCGACACTTTAATAGGAGTATTTAGCGAAAACGTCAGGTTTGTGTGTGCGCACAAGAAGCACGGCAGAGACGACAGCCCCCGAGCTCGTTTGATTGAGGACGTCCCCCATAGAAGAGATTCATCTGCTGAAAAAGACACAACGCGCAACGTCTTGTCTACAAACACGCGCGCACACAAAAGGCTTGATTAGCCCCGATTGATGCAAACCATCCCCTTAATCCCACACGTGTGTAATTCCATCTCTTTTCCAATCAGAGGCTGACTGTCAGTAATGTGTCCCTCTCTAGGTTTTTTCCTTTCGCCATCATCTGTCTTTTCTTTCAGTAATGGGATATTTTCTGGGATTTAGACATTCTGTCTGGTGGCTTCGTGACCCTCAGTGTTTTGTGCGTGCACGTTGCTCCCTGCATTCTTTGCCTTATCTGCTAACCGATGTGAAGCCATACGTGAAATAAAGGCCGGCGGCGGAAGCGGCCCCCTGCCGCCCTTCCCCGTCAAAGTTATCTGTCCGTGTTGTACTCATGGAAGCGGCACGCGGTCGCTGCATCGGCTGTGGACGAGCCCCCCGCCTCCCTTTTCAAGCCGTCCACGTGTCCTCGTTGGGCAGCGGGTCGACGAGGAGCAGATCCCAGCGCTGCGTTTCACATGCGCGGTACCTTTAACTTCCTGCGTCGGGATGCTGGGATATCGTTATGTACGCGTCAACGCAACAAAGAAATCTGTTCAAATGGTCGAGTTGACGTCTGTATGCTGTTTTGGATATTTACTGTTCTTTCAAACAGTCGTAGGATTTGACCTTAATACGTTTTTACAATTATTTCTAATTGCCACTTTGATTTTTACATTGAGGGTCGTAAGCCGAGCGCCGTAATTGTAAGTTGCTTTGACTAAATAATGATTGCATGCAGACGAGCGGCGAGCTCATTCAAAGCATGGCAGCTGTCAAAACAAGTCGCGCATTAGTCATCTGTTTCATTAGCCCCTGTTGTCTTCCTACTGTATTCATCAGGGCCAAGTTTGTGTTCTTTAACAATGTCGTGGGAGGCCATTGAAGAACAAACTGTTTACAGTGAAGCCGCAAAATGAAATCATCCCGAGGCAGAAAGGGACGCAGCGCAGCCGGTCCAAATGATAGTAGCAAACACACAGAGCATTGATCTTTGAATATGAACCAGCAGCTCGCTCACAGCCTCCAGCGTCTTTTCGCCCCCCCCCTTCTTCCACTTGCCTTATTTGTCCCGATTTAATACCAGAAACACCCTCCTCCATTGTTTGCCTGCAGTGAGGCACCTCAAAGCTTCACAGTCTTCCCCGCGCAAAGTCTCCTTCCCTTTCCACAGCGTTGCTTGATTGGTAAAGACGGCGCTTTTTAAGAAGAAGAAGAAGAAGAAAAGAAAATCTGTGGAAGAGGAAAGAGCGAGGCGCTTCAAAGCGGGCCGGAGGTGTGCTCGAGGAGATGAAGGGAAGTTCCCTCGTCACCTTTCCTTTGTTCTCCACGTGGGCCGCGTGGCGTCACTTGTGTACACGAGTCTGATAAAGGGTAAAGGAGTCATCCTGTCTCCCAAGGAAACGCAGGGCTTCTACGCAGGAAAAGGGAGTTGAGAATGGGCCTGGCCGGTGGGGGAGGGGGTGAAGGAGAAATGATGAAAGGGGGAGGAGGTAGAGTGAGAGCCCAGTACGTGGGCATAGAGGCCCGTGGAAGCCCAGGGCGGTGCGGGCAGTGAAAAGACCGTAAAAGCCTTCGATGGCGTTTTTAGAGAGCGGGGGCCCGGCAGGTGAGCGGCACTTTGAAAGGGACTCTGGAAGGTACGTCGACGTCAGTCTGTCGGACATGAAGATTTACACTGTCAGCAAGGCGCATTAGCCAGCCCAGGGTGTGGCTGGGGGGGCGTGCGCGTGTGTGTGTGTGTGTGTGTGTGTGTGTTGGTGCCTCAACTAATGTAAATGTAGCGACTGTTATGCGGGCACACACACCCCTCCCCCCCAGCTTTTCGGTCTTTGATTGTTTGCCTGTCGCGGTGCTAATTATGTCCTATAAACAGCATATTAAAAAAAAAAATAGTAATTAGTAACTTCAATATTTAATAAATGGACGCTAATGGGATTCCTGCTGAGCTGACTGTGTCCTGAGAGCATCCTTTTAAAAAAGTTTTTATTTTTTTTACATGCAGACGAGCCGATGTGAGAGCTCAAAGCGTCCGGTAGGTAATGATCAGAAAAGTCAGCGCAAATCCCCCGTCCCCCCCCGTCCCCTGCAACGCCACAGACACTGCGAGATGAAGCTCATTATCTCGCCTCGTTTGTGGCGGAGGAGAGGAGGCCGCCTCGACACCGCTACGCCGGGTCAAATGAAAACGCATCCAGTTACGGGGTCTCAAATAAACATGTCAGAAATCAAAAGCACAGAATCCTTTCATCCCATCTGTTGTGTTTTCCGAGGAGCTGAACGAAGACTCGCTGAGAACAACGGAGATGTCACTTTGATATTTGCACCATTAGATTAATCCCACCAGTACTTCAGTGGGTGAGATTATGAAAGGGCAGTTTCTGGAATATTTTGAGGCACATTCACTTTCTTTGCAGGCAGTTGGATGCATATATTATATATACTCTCACACACACGCACACACAGGCTTCTAATCTGCCTGTTTATTATGATGCAGAAGTAGGCAGTCAGTCCTGATGAGATTGGCTTCCTGTAGTTTGACCCAGATGTTGGGGAGTGTGCGTGTGAGCAGAGCGTGCGCGTGTGTGTCTCTCACTGTGACGTGGACTCGTTGTATCGCACTTGTAAATAGTCACATTCGTCCTCATGTTTTTCCATTAATAGGCCCATTATTTATTGTTGTTTGCTTGAGCTGCATTACAAATGTTCCTCGTGTGTCCCGAGAAGCCCTTTGGATCATTATGCCCCCATATTATGACGACCCCGAGCCGTCCCGATGTCTCCCCCCCCCGTCCCCCCTCCCCTCTCTCTGTGCTCCACCCACATGGCTGAATGCGCTTATTGTAAGTCACTTGGCATAAAAGCTTCAGCTAAATTAACATGATGTAATTTGGTCCTTTCTTTTGGATTCTGTTACGAAAAGCACAGTTCCAGCTCTGCCCCCCCCCCATCGCCCCTTTTCTGCAATTACTTCACGCGGCACATTTCTGCACGCGTGTGCAGTATTCAGCCCGCCCTTGTCTTTCCTCTCCTCCCTTCATTGTCCCACGTGGAAGCCCCGTCCCGGTCCACTTCTATAAATACTTTCCGATGATCTTTGGCCATCACTGTCGTCTCCTCCGCTCTTCAGGAAGCTTTCTTTTTTTAAATTATATTTTATTAAATGTTTGAACATGGTAGGAAATCTAATGGAATACGTTCAATAGAATAAAAATCAAACCAAATCAAGTAAAGGCTGAAATCTACAATGGCATTTTCTAAGTTTATTTTTGTTTGTTTTTGAGGCTAGCCACTTATTTACCTTGTGTATGAATGTTTTTCATCTCTCCTCGCCATTTCTAAGTACAACAAATCGCTCCATCTGCCGTGCCTGAGTAAAAAGACTCAAGTGCTTTAGTGCAAAAAGAACAAAATGCGTATGTAATTGTTTTTAAAAGTCCCTGCTTTAACACTGCAGACATTATGGCTGCAGAAAGCTGACTCTGCAGTTCTTCCTTTGGTGCCGGCTGTGAGTCGGACCTTGTTTTCACCAATCCCGGCTCGTCTCCGCCTCTCCGCCGGCGCCGACACGCCGATATGTCCCGTCCTCCATAAATGGGACAGTTACGGGCAGATGTTTCTGTTCGGAACGGAAAGTACCGAAAGGAAACAAAAGCACTTCTATTTAGTCTTTAAATGAACCCGGGAAACAATTCAGGTTGGCTGATGAGTTAAATGGGAGATCTGTCGTAAAATGTTGTTAAGTGCGCCGTGTTTAACGTGTCTAACATATGCTGAGGTGTTTCCTCTGCTAGTGTTTACAGAACGAGCAGCTGGTACAGTGTCCTGGAATAATGTCGCCGTTGAGCACGGATGCTTTACCAAATGAAAAAAAAAATCTTAAGGCCTTCTCTGCAGCGACCCCCCCCCCCGTCTTAGAAACTCATCACCTAATACTTTCTTAAGCCCTCGCGTTTGAGTTCTTCCGTACTCGTGTGCTCCACGCTGAGAAGTGGAAACTCTCTTTCTATGAACGCCTCATCGGTCAAAGGGGGAGAGGGACATGTCGGGGGGGGGGGAGAGGTCCTGGGAGAGGATTTAATTTTCAAGGCCCGTTGTCTTGTGGAAGGCGACCATGGGCATAATAACACCTGTGATTTAACGTAGTGTGCACATGCAGCACGACGCGTCTCACTCGGGGGACGCGCCTTCAGTAGAGGCCCCCCCACCGGCGCAATCTACAGTGTCAAGACTGTGGACGAGACGCTCGTCTTCAAACGCAGGAATGCTCTGTCGGCGCCTCTACCTTTCTCGCCTGCGCCTCCTTATTTCACGCTGCGTCGATGCGAAACGCCACAGGGCCTCAAATAAACCGTAGCGGTTATATTTATTCATTTAGTTTTGCTGGGGACAAATGGACCCGGTCTCCTGTTATCGAGCAGCGTGACGCAGATTTGCCGCCGCGTTGACCTTTTTTTTTTTTTAACTTATTTTTTTTTAAACTCTAATGCGATTGTGTCGTCTCTGGTCTCAGGCATCGAGTGTCCGCGCAGTTCCAGGAACCTGCCCGGAGGGACGCAGGTGGCGGAGCCCTTCAGTGACGAGGCCATGATGTTCACCAAAGAGCTGGTGCTGCAGAGGGAGGTAAGTGTTCCCGCGTTGTTGACCCCCCCGCCGACCCCCCGACCCCCGTCACCGACAACCCAGGAAGCTGCTTTGGCTCGGAAACCATTTTCCCACCAGGCGTTCTGCCGTTGTTTGGACTATCGCAATATTATAACACACAATTTTAAAGCTTTTAAAAAGCATCTAGTGCAGAAATCCACTTGAGAAATGTACAAAACTGCAGAATTCGGGACATTCGGTTTGATTCCAGGCGTCTGAAACAGTCACTCGTCCACTGCCTTTAATCCGCAGATTAAATCATTTACTGATGATCTTTATTACAACATTTGAAGCACCATGTACCTTGAGTGCCATGAAAACTCAACAAAAGTGTCCACAATCAAGTAGCCCAACACACACACACACACACACACATTCCTCCCCTCCCTTTATGGAAAGCTCACCTGATAGTGGATCAGTGCTGCTGGGCTTTTTAACTCCACTGTGTGCTCGTCCATTCACATGCTAATAGGTTTTCATAAGAAGAAGTGAGCGGACCAGAACCATAATGGAACGAGCTATAATCCCGCCGCCACTTATCCGGGCCGCGCGCTGCCGCTCTTTCGACTCCCACTCCCCGTTCCTATCGGCGTTTTTTTAAAGGGCTATTTTTCCGCGGAGGTGGCTGACTGCCCCCCCCCCCCCCCGCGTTTAATTGTCATGAAAATGTCGCCGTGGACGCGTCACCGCAGAGAACCACCGTGTTGATATGAATTCCAACTATTCCCACGGATGCACTTAAATAAATGCATAATTAATTAATCTGACCCCTGAACCCTTACACACCGACACACACACTCACACACACACACACACACACACACACACACATACTGACCCTTGCCAGTCCTTGGCAAGGGTCAGTATGTAACCCTGTGTTTTTTTTTCTACATTTTCTCGCAATAGGAGGCATCTAATGAGTCCTGAGCCCGGTTGCGGGGGGGGGAGGGGGGGCGGGTTGGCCGGCCGCACTGACCTGCCGCTGTGGGCTGACGTGAACACAAGCGTGCGCCCGCGCTCGCTCTCAGGTTGACACATTCAAGTCGAGGAACGACGCCGTTAAGCTGTCGCACACGAGAGCTGTCACTTTTTTTCAAAAGTGAGGAAAGGCGAGAATCATTATCTCCAAAGGAAGTCATCTCTGGTTGAGAAGGAGGATGGCGGAGGGAAGTGTGTGTGTGTGTGAGGGGGGCGGGGTTAAAAAACAAACGTTAAAACACACATCTGTCCCTGAAATCAGTGTTCTGCACACCGAAACGCGAGTGAGAAGTTTGGAGGAAGTGGCGGCGGAATGGATAAGGGCGGGACGGAGATGCTCCCTTGATTAGTCCTTGTCTCCTCGTCTCCTTGTGCCCGTGCGGGGCGGCGGCGGCGAGTGAAGCGGCTTATTAAGGTGTGCCACGCTCGAGCATGAATATGGATCGTTGACTCCATCAGCATACGGCCGCGCCGCCGCGTCGTCTCTGAATGGCGCCTGATTGCGGCGGAGCCTCTTCGAGACGGCCTCGTGTGAATAACCTTTGAGATTTTGGGGATGTTTTTCTCCCCCCCGGCGGCGTATTTATTATTTGCGAAATATTTTTCCTCGCTCGTGCCACTCGACCATTTTGACTCTGCGTTGCTACGACGACACGTCGCTGTTCAATTAGCTCTTCTCTCCCTTTCTCTCCCTTTCTCTCTCTCTCGTGTCTCCGTTCACAAGCAACTTTTTTCTCGCTTCCATTCCACTAATAGCCCCCCCCCCCCCTGTTCTCTGTCCTCTCATCCTCACCTCAACCGGGCGTATATTAGGGGGCCCCCTTTCCAATCTTGGAACTGGGATTTGCTTATCGCCGCTATTGAGCCTCCCTCCCCCTCCTGCCTCCCTCCCTCCCGCCCCGTGGCTCTCTCTAAACCGGCACACAGCCATGTCTTCATTTCTCCTGATGCCGGGACGCATAATTAATGTTGCAGAGACCCCCTGGTTTCTGTCTCCTCCACCCCCCCCTCCCCTCCCTTCCCCCCACTCCCATCATCCCCTCCGTCTCTCTGGCGGCCTTCTTCTTTTTTTAAATCTCTTTCAGAGATTTCTCTCACTTTCAGACTCGCTATTTTCGAAGTCTTCTTTCATCCGTCTGTTGCTGCTTCTTCTCTTTCACTGTCTGTCTCCCCTCCCTCCCCCCTCCTCCCACCCCCACGCTGCGTCGTGTTAATCTCTGACAGACAGCGCTCCCGTTCCCAGTGTGGAACCAAAACAGCAGAACAGAATACCGAGGGGAAGAAAGAGGACACGTCGGTGGACACCCCTCCCCAGACATTTCTCTCTCCTCATTTTTGATGTTTTCCATTTCTTTCCATTGACGAGTCTCCATTCAGCAACCAGGGCTCTGTTGGTTTTTCTCCTTTTTTTTTTTTTCCTCCCCTTTCGGGGGGGGAAACTTCAAACGCTGAGCCGGAAACCAGGAGGGAGCAGGACGGACACATTTTTTACCGCATTGGCGCTTTTTTTCTCTGATGAGTCTGCGAGAGAGACGGGACGTAATTAAAGGCGTAGCGATAGTTAATAAAATAAACACGTCGAGGGAGCCGATATTTAAACGGTTTTCCAGCGTCTCATTAAAGCGGCGTATATTTTAATAAAGTCTTTGAGGGCCGCCATTTCCGACACGTGACGCCTGGCGCCAAAGTGAGGCGCGTCGCGCTTCAAAGACGCCATTTAACACCTGCGCCTGGAGAAAAAAGGCGATGCTCTCGCGGTGGAAGAATAGTTTTTTCTGTTCATATATACATAGAAATGATGTTTACTCAACAACTCTGGAACAGTTTTAAATTTATTTTTTGATTTTGCATCAAATCCTGATCGATTGGATTCGTTCTGCTGTTTACATTTGGCCGTTTTTTTGCATTGGCGCCATGAAACGCACACTGGCTTGTTTGAGGAAAGTCACGCTTTGGAACAGCGATTTAGAACGCGCTTCATTCCGCCTCACATTTCAGCTGCGGTTGGAAAGAAATTACATGGTGACGATTACAGATGTTAATTGCAGCCATCAGCCCCCCCCTCCCCCAAAAATTGAATTTCCTATCCAACATAATTGCCATAGTCCTACCTTTTAGGCACATGCCTCCATACGGATGTGTCAGTTTTCAGTGATTTTGTCGGCAGATCGTAGTTATTAAAGTACTCTGCTTTAATAATTGATCTGGGTGAGCATTTATCAGTAGAAATGTCAATGCATCCAACACCTCTTTGTCACATCGGGAGGACTTTTAACTTTCTGAATGAGCTGGTAAATCACGCGTATCCATCAATTGCCCTTTTAAAAACTGCATTGGGCACAGCTTTATAGAGAGGCACCACGTAGCAATTGGGTAATTGAAGTGTTACCTGGTTGTCTTTTCTTCCACATCTGTGGCCAATGGGACTGCAATCAATTCACTTAGCATTCTGCGCGCACGCACACACACACACACACACACACACACACACAGCTTCATGCTTCATGCAGTTGAGCCTCTTTTGTACGTCTTATTTTGCCCCGTTTCAGGGCCGCAGGAGAGCATCGGATTTCTCCACAGCTTCCATGCACTCGCATTGATTTCCGATCACGCTTGAATTATTTTTGGCGCGAGGCCGATTATGCAAGTGCTGCTTTGACCATGTCTCATCCTGCTGCGCCCCCCCCCCCCCCACACACACACCATTCCGTCGTCCTCATGTGCCCGTCGGCGTCCACATTGCTACACGACTCGCTTTCGAATACTTTTACCTAAGCAGGACTGTGTGTGTGTGTGTGTGTGTGTGTGTGTGTGTGTGTGTGTTGGAGAGGGAGAGTACGAGTACACATCATGAATAATCCACGGTGTGGTTTCCTGGTCAGCGAGAATCCATCCGCTCAGAACCGCAGCAGCCTGGACCGCGTCCGCACCAGAGACACTGAACACGTTACACAGTCATGTAGAGGCTGCTTCTTCCAATGGGGTCGCCGACGACTGTCGGGTGTCTTTTTTTTTTTTATTTAGCTCTGCTGAGTTCAGCATCGCACCACTATGAGAATTTGTTCGGCGGCAAGATTTCCGGCAAAACCACGTCGGCCTGTGAAATGAAATTAGATTTGAAGTCATCGAGAGCAGCAGTTTATATTATTGGGTGGACGGTCCCAAGGGGAAAAGTCCTGCCAAAGTCCCAGTTGTGCGTCCCTTTTGTTCCCCTTAGAAAATGTCGGATTAAACCCTGAAGGTGAACGGAGCGACCCGCGCACACGCAGAGATGGATGAGCCGGAATAGAGACGGAGCGATGAGACCGAGGGAGGAACCCGCTCGCCGCTCTGTCGTTTACAGCGGCGACCTTGTGCGTGCATCGCGACTTTGGCCGTGCACCCCGATAAACGCACCCAGGAAACAGCCCGGCGAACGTGGGGCACCCGGCGTGCTCGGCGACCAGCCGGGGGCCTCGTGGCCCCTTTTTCCCCTCGACACGAAGGACACTGCAGCACTCTTCATCAGTCTCGCACCGCATCACTCACCGTGGTCGTCTCCTCCTTAATTATCCGTTGTCTTCTGCTCCTCGTGCGTTCACGTTCCTAAGGACGCGCGTTGAGGTGCAGGCCGGCCGATGGAGGAGGACAGAAGATGGCAGCTTTTATGATAAAACGAGCAGGTGAAAAGACGTTGTCTCCTGCTTTCTTTGAGAGAGAGAGAGAGAGAGCTGCGATGAGGCCTGAGCTCGCTTATTTACGTCGCTTTCTCCCTTTTCCGAAAAAGGGAGAAAGCCAAACTGCATATTGAATTTCGGTGCATCTGAGGATACTGCAGGCGGCCAGCCAAATGGCCACCGGCTGTTTTCAATGGAGCGGCCATTACCTGCCTCATTATTTGGCTTCTGTACTTGCTCCTGCTTTTGGCTCTTACTTCTGTGCCTTTTCTCTCGACCCGTTTATTGTTCCAATAAACAACAGCTTTGTTTGAATCTTCCGTTCGCCTGCCCCCTCAGCACAGT